CACCAAACAGAGCATCAAAAAGAAAAAAGAATTTTAAAAAGTGAAAATAACTTAAAGGACCTATGGGACAAGATCATCTAGAACAACATTCACACTATAAAGGTCTCAAAAGGAGAAGTGAGAAAAAGGGACAGAAAACATATTAGAAGAAATAATAGCCAAAAACATCCCTAACCTAAGGAAGGAAACAAATAGCCAGATCTAAGAAGTTCAGAGAATTTCAAATAAGATGAATCCAGAGATCCACCCCAAGATACATCATAATTAAAATGTCAAAAGTTAAAGATAATGACAGAATCTTAAAAGCATATGTACAAGAAAACCCCCATAAGACTATGAGAAGATTTTTCAGCAGAAACTTTGCAGTCCAAAAAGGAGTATCATGATATGTTCAAAATGCTGAAAGTGAAAACTTCTAACCAAAGATATTATACATGTTAAGGTTATCATTCAAAACTGAAAAAGAGATAAAGTGATTTTCAGATAATTGAAAAGTAAAGTAGTTCATCACCACTAAACTTACTAGACAAGAAATATTAAAGGGACTTCTTTAAGCTGAAAGAAAGAGTACTAATTAGTAACAAGAAAATGCATGGAAGTAAAAGCTCACTAGTAAAGGTAAATATATAATAAAGTTAGTAATCACTTATAAAGCTAGCATGAAGGTTAAAAGACAAGAATAGTAAAAAAATACTATAAATGTAAAAATTAGTTAAGAAATAGGCAAAATAGTGCACCTGGATGACTCAGTTGAACCCCATTGGGTTTCACACTCTGCAAGGAGTGTGCCTCAGATTCTCTCCCTCTCCCTCTGTTCCTACTCCCCCACACTCTCTTTCTCTCTAAAATAAATAAATAAATCTTTTTTAAAAAAGAAATAGACAAAATAAAAAGATGTGCAATATGCCATCAAAAACATAGAAAGTGGGAGTGAGGAATGAAAATTCGGTTTAGTTCAAACTTAACTTGCTATCAACTTAAAATAGACTAGTTTATATACATTGCCATATGTAAGCATCATGGTAACCTCAAAGCAAAAACCTATAGCAGCTACACAAAAAATGATGAAACTGCAATCTAAAAATAACGCTAAAGAAAGGCATCAAACCACAATGGAAGAAGGTAAGAAAAGAAAAAAGAAACAGAGAGCAACTACAAAAGCAGCCAAAAACACTGAACAAAACGGCAATAAGTACATACCTATTCATAATTACTTTAAATATAAATGAGATAAATACTCCAATCAAAAGACACAGAGTGGATGAATGGATTATAAAAACAAGGCTATCTATATATTCTGCCTACAGCAGACTTGCCTCAAATGTAAGAAAACACACAGACTGAAAGTGAAGTGATGGGAAAAGGTGTTTTATGAAGATGGAAATAAATGAACAAAAAGCTGGGGTAGCTATACTTATTTCAGACAAAATAGACTTAAAAGCAAAGACTGTAATGAAAGATAATCAGGGCATTACATAATGACAAAAGGGTAGATGCAGCAAAAAATATAGCATCTACAAATATTTGTGCATCATACATAGGAGCACCAAATTATGCAAAGTAGGTATTAACAGACCTAAAGGCAGAAATCAATGGTAATACAGTAGTAGTAGGGGACACTAACACCCACTTACATCAATAGATAAATTATCCAGACAGAATATTGGGAAGGAAACACTGACACATTAGACCAGATGGACCTAACAGAACGTTCTATCCAAAAGCAGCAGAAAACACATTCTTCTCAAGTGCACATGGAGCATTCTCCAAGACAGATCATATCTTAGCTCACAAAACAAGCCCAAATAAACTTAAGAATATTGAAATAATAACAAGCATCTTTTTCTAACAATAATGGTGTGAAACTGGAAATCGATCATGGAAAACAAACTGGGAAAATCACAAACATGTGGAGATTAAGCAACATGTTACTGAACAACAAATGGGTCAATGAAGAAGTCAAAGGAGGAAAAAAAATAATACCTGAGACAAGTGAAAATGAAAATGCAATATACCAAAATCTATGGGATGAAGCAAAAGCAGTTTTAAAATGAAAATTCATTGCAATTCAGGCCTATGTCAAGAGACAAGAAATATCTCAAATAAATAATCTAACTTTACACCCAAATTTCAAATAAACAATTTAACTTTACAACAAAAGGGACAAGAAAAAAGGAAACAAATGAAGCTCAAAGTTAATGAAAAGAAGGTAGAAAATAATAAAGATTAGAGCAGAAATAAATGGAATGGACACCAAAAAGACAATAGAAAAAAAGAAAAAACAGTGAGCCTGAGAGCTGGTTCTTTTAAAAGATTTAAAAAAAAATTGATAAACTCTTAGCTAGACTCATTAAAAAAAAAAGAGAGAGAGGGCTCAAATAAATAATATCAAAAATGAAAGAGGGAAAGTTACAACTGATACCAAAGAAATACAAAGGATCGTAATAGACTACTGTGAACAATTATATGCCAATAAATGACAACCTAGAAGAAATCAATAATTCTTAGAAACAAAATCTTCTGAGACTAAATCATGAAGAAATAGAAAATTTGAGTAGATCAATTAGTAAGGATCTTGAAGCAGTAATCAAAAACCTTCCAATGAACAGAAGTCCAGTGCCAGATGGCTTCACTGGTGAATTCTACCAAATATTCAAAGAATATTCAATAGTTATCCTTCCCAAATTATTCACAACATTGAAGAGTAGGGAATATTTCCAAACTCATTTTACAAGGCCAGAATTGCCTGGCCACAAAGAAGCAGACAAGGACAACACACACACAAAAGGAAATTACAGTCTAGAACCTCTGATGAATGCAGATGCAAAAATCCTCAACAAATATATTAGCAAACTGAAAGATTATACATTGTGATCAGGTGGTTTATATTTCAGGGATTCAAGGATGGTTCACCTACTAATATAAATGAATGTGAAGGATAAAATAATCTTATGATCATCTCGATTGATGCAGAGAAGACATTTGAAGAAAACAACATATATTTATGCTAAAAATGCTCAACAAAGTAGGTGTAGAAGGAATGTACTTCAACATAATAAAGGCCATATATAAGTACACCACTAACACCATACTCAATGATGAAAAACTGAGAGCATTTCCTTTAATATCAGGAACAGGACAAGTTGTCCACTCACACGACTTTTATTCAACATAGTACTGGAAATCTTACCCACAGAAATCAAACAGGAAAAATAAATAAAAAACATCTAAATTGGTAAAGAAGAAATTAAACTGTCACTGTTTTCAGATGATGTGACTCTACACATAGAAAATCTTTCAAAAACCTTCATCAAAAAAACTTAGAACTAATAAATGAATTCAGTAAAGTTGCAGGATACAAAATCAATTTATAAAAATCTATCGTGCTTTTATATACCAATAACAAACTATCAGAAAGAGAAATCCTAAAAAAATGTTCTTACTTACAACTGCATTAAAAAATATACCTAGGAATAAACTTAACCAAGGAGATGAGACACCTGTACTCTAAAACAACAAGACATTGATGAAATAAATTGAAGAAGACACAAGTAAATGGAAAGATATTCCATGCCATAGATTAGAAGAATTAATATTGTTAAAATGTCTGTATTACCCAAAGCACTTTACAGATTCAATACAATCCCCATCAAAATTCCAAAGGCATTTTTCAAAAAAATAGAAAAAATCCTAAAATTTGTATGAAACCACGAAAGATCCTGAATAGCCAAAACAAATTTGATAAAGAAGAAAAGAGCTAGAAGCCTCTCACTTTCTGATTTCAAACTGTGTTAAAAGCTATAGTAATTAAAACGGTATGGTATTGGCATAAAAACAGAAACACTGACCAATGAAACAGAATGGAGAGCCCGGAAATAAACCCACACATATATGGTGAGTTGATATATGACAAAGGAGGCAATAATATACAATGGAGAAAGGACAGTCTCTTCAATAAATGGTGCTGGGTAAACTGGACAGCCACATGCAAAAGAATGAAACTGGACCACTGTCTTATATGATAGACATTAACAAAGAAATGGTTTAAAGACTTGGATATAGGACCAAAACTCACAGAACTCGTAGAAGAAAACATAGGCAGTAAACTCCTTTGCATTGTTCTTGGTGATAATTTTTGGACCTGACTCCAAAGGCAATGGCAACAAAAGCAAAATAAACAAATAGCACTAAATCAAGCTAAAAAGCTTCTGTGCAGTAAAGAAAATCATCAAGAAAACATAAAGGCAACCTACTCAGTGAGAGAAGATATTTGCAAATCATTTATCTGCTAAGGGGTTAATATTCAATATATATAAAGAACTCATACAGCTTAATAATAACAATAACAACAATGAGACACAAACAATCCAATTAAAAAACGGGCAGAAATCTGAATAGATATGCTTCCAAAGATATACAGTTGGCCAACAGACATATGAAAAGATGTTCAACATCACTAATCATCAGGGAAATAAAATCAAAACCACAATGAAATATCATGTCACACCAGTCAGGATGGCTATTATCAAAAAGATAAGAAATAACAAGTGTTAGTGAGGATGTGAAGAAAAGGGAACACTTGTGCAATGTTGGTGGGAATGTAAATTGGTGCATCCCCTATGGAAAACAGAAAGGAGATGCTGCAAAAAACTAAAAGTAGAACTGTATGATCTAAGAATTCCACTTCTGGGTACTTATTTGAAGAAAGGAAAAACACTAATCTGAAAAGATACATGCACCTCTACGTTCTTTGCAACACTATTCACAATACCAAGATATGGAAACAACCAAAGTATTTATCAATGAATGAATGGTTAAAGATGATGTCTCACACACGCGTGCACACACACACACAAACACACACACACACAAATACTGCTCAGCCATAAAAAGGATGAAATCTTGTATTTGTAACAACATGGATAGATCTTAAGAGTATTATGCTAAGGGAAGTAAATCAGATGGAGAAAAACAAATGCCATATGATTTCATCTTGGCAGGGTATCACCTTCAAAGGTAGCATGTTTGCTATGCCTTCCAGAAGCCATTGTATCACTCCATCAGGCCAGCAATTTCTGCGATGTGTGGTAAGTGATAATAACAGTGTATCCAATTATTTTGTTCCCATAGTAGTCTTCCTAACAGGGTCCCTTGATCCAATGAAATGTATAAGAATTTTTTGTTAGTAGAACAAATGTTCTGTAAGCCCTCAGATAGTGCTACTATTTGAGGCTCTGAAGGCAAGAAAAGCAAATCCATATCCAGAATATGTGTTATTTCCAGTCAAGTTGAATTGTTGTCCCTTCCAGAATAAAAAGGGCCCAGTGGCTAGTTGGTCTCCTCAGGGATGGTGTCATATTGGGTGCATGCCATTTATTTCTTTTGCTGATAGATTGGAGTGAGAGTAGTTAAATTAGTCTTAGTGGGAATCCACATTTTGGGGTCTGTTCAATGCCTCATTCCCTTCCCCTGAGTCTACTCCATTAATGACTCCACTGCAACAGCATATGACAGCCAAAGACAGACTGGCTGACTTCTGACCAGGCCATTCTGTCTGGCTGGTGGTTTAATGTTTATTCCTTCATATGTTCTCTCTGGTGGATGTGATCATGCAAGACAATGGCCTTCACATTTCTTCCTAATTTTTATAAGTCCAACCACATGCCTCTTCCTCAGACCTTCTCTTTGCTGACCTTCCAGCTAAACCATTCCTCTCTGAAACTATTCACTTTCGCTATGGGTACATCTATTTTCTGACTTTGGCAACTTTTCTCTTCATGCAAAATGGTGACCAGGCATTCTTAAGTGGTGACCAGCAGCCTATTTCCAGATTGCACTCAGATGCTGAGCCAACACGCTTATAAATCAAGTTCATTCTTTTTCTTCCTTTGTATTTGATATTTGGGTTCATCTGTGGCAGCTGGGGATGAGGCACTGCCACCATAGTGGGTGAAATGTCATGGAGATCTATTCATTCGTCTTGCTTGTTTCCTCTAAACTTGCTTCAGCCTAATATTGGACCTTTCATCTTATGATGGACTACTTCTAGGCATGCTTGAATAATAACTTGGTAGTTCTAACAGAAACCAGTTCATGATGGCCAGCTCTGATCTCAAGGTCAGAGAATCTATTTCTGCTAGAGCTGTTTTTCGAGTAATTTATAACTCTTTGCTGCAAGGTCATGGCCTTGCCCCAGAAGCCTATAGATTTGTGTTGTGATTCTTCCATTAGATATTGCCGTAAACTCCGTAAGTACCTTTTTCTTTTGCCACAGGTACCTCTAAACATACCATAGGGTCTATTGGGTTTTATGTCCAACCAGCAAGGCTATCTCAGTGTAGCCTGGAACAGCTCTCCAGCTCTTTCAAATCTTTCCACCCACCTTGTCACTCAATGCATGGGTCCGAATAAGTGTGGAATATGCTGTCCCCCAAATCTAAAAAGGCTAATCTGGCATTATGATTCTATCTCAATGTAGAAAGTATAACATGCAATAATTTGTCCTTTATTATAAATGGGGACATTCAGAATGTTCCAGTCCACTGAGCCCCTTAAAACTTCACTGGTATGTTGTGCCTCTGAATCTTTGTTGATTTATCTTACGCCCTCTGGAACACAGATGTCTTGTCAAAACTTCCAGAATACTTGCTGCTTTTGATTATCTGTTCTGGTTAATATGATGTCATCAACATAATTTACCAATGTGATATTTTGTGGGATGTCTGGATTACTCAGGCTGCATTATGATCAAGGACAGCAGAATGTGCAGTCTTCAGCAAGGATTTAGATCTACACTCTTTTCCTTATCATTGGAACACTGGCTGGTCTTGGTTCTGCTCTCTGATAGAGATGGGAAAGAACACATTTCCCATGTCAGTGACTCAGTACATATTTGAGTCTTAATCTGCTAAAGCAAAGATCCCACACTTTAGCTGCTGTGGTTAGAACTATTATTTGTTTGAGTTCATGGTAGTCTACCATTAACCACCAGAATCATTAACCTTATTAGGGTCTGCAATTGTAAATTTAATGGAAAAATTATAGGAACCACTGACCATACATACTCTAAGTTTAAGGATGGCACTAATCTTTACTATTCCTTCTAGAATATAAGATTTTGGATTTGCTATTTGGAAATGGGAAGGAAGAAGTTTTAGAGGATTTCATTTATGGTTATCACTTTATTAGCCAAGGAACCAATATATATTTTTGCATTTCTCTGGAGTTGAAAGAGCCTGAACCCCTCTTCATTTGTGTATCTGTTCTTTTGTAAGTGCCTGCCCACATCTTTTGTCCACTTTTAAATTGATTGTTAGTTTCTTATTTATTTGCAAGTATTCTTTATATATTCTGTATGTACTTTTTTAAAATAAAGGTGAACTGCAAATACCTTTTCCCATTCTGTGGCTTACTTTTTCTACTGACTTGTTCGTTTTTTAGATCTATAATTCTTCCAGAATTGTTTGCTGTATATACTATAAGGTAGAAGACAAAACTTTTTTTTTTTTTTTTAGATAGCTATCCAGTTGGCTCAGTGCCGTTCATTGAAGAAACAACCCTTTTCTCAATGACACCATTGTCAAAAATTGACCATATATATGTGAGCCTATTTCTCGACCCAGTCGATGGAACATTTATTCTGTTTCATTGGTCTGTTTGTTTATGCTTGCACCACAGTACCCTATGTCATGTGCTATATAGGCTTATATAAACTTTGACATTCAAAACTGTCAGTTTTTCAACTTTGTTGTTTTCTTCAAGATGATTTATGCTGTTCTTAGCTTTTTTTAAATTTTCACACAAATTTTAGAACTAAGTTATTAATTTCTAAAAAAATTGTTCTTGGAATTTTCTTTGAGATGGCCTTGAATCTAACATAAATTTGGGGAGAATTGAAATCTTGCATACTGACTCTTTTATTCCATGTGCATCTCATATTTCTCTATTTAGTTCTTTAATTTTCTTTAAATGTTTTGTATAAGTTTTATGCATCTTTTGTTAGGTTTATTCCTAAGCATTTCATATTTCTGTGCATTATAAATGTTTTTTTCTAATTTTTTATTGATTTGTTTATAGAAGTTCAAATAATTTTTAATGACCTTATTATATTTTATTCCTTCTTTTAATATTTTATGTGTAGAATCTTTTGGATTTTCCTTAAATAAAATCGTGTCTCTGAAAATAATAGTAGTTTAAATTTTTTTTCTTTTACAATAATTGTATCTTTGTTTTTTTCTGCCAGTCATTTTAATTCAAATGCATACTTCTTGGTTCCTTTCCCCAAGTCTCTGGTATTCTTCCTAATTAAAAGAAATCTATACGAATACCCACTGTGAATATTCCACAGAAATGGAACATATAAATAATTTCCTTAGGCTCAGGGATTCATAACTTTCATTGCTTTTTCTATCTTATTCTTTGTGGGAGTGTGCTCAGAGTATATCTGTTACTGAACCTTCATTTTTTAATTTGTTACATATCTTTTTAAGACTTGCATTGAGAATTTATTACTGTGGAAGATAAACTGTGAAACTGTAGAGCCCGGTGTTTATTGGACAGATTTTGGGGATTCATAGTTCCCTAATTTGTTGTTTTCTTTTTTGAAATCTGAAAGATCAATGAATTTGACTTCTAAACATACTTCCAGCACTGAGCCTATCATTAATGTTATCTAATTATTGTTTTTCTCAATCATTGTTTTGAGTAAAATTTCAGCCATATGTTGTCACCAAAGGGAATATCATTTTCAAATAAGAATCTGAGTTTCTAAATGGAAGGATTTCTCAATTATGTAATCAAAAATTTCTCTAAAGTAAAAATACAGATCTTTAAATATATTTTAATAAAATCAAAACCACAGATATGAAATATGATGTTGAAAGGTATTTGGTGCATTGATAAAGTTCCCTCGAGGACTCTGGATGTTTAAAGCAACAGTTTGATTGAATAGAACAATAAATGCAGGGCTGAGTGTATTTTTTTTCTTTTTTTCTCATCTACTAGAAAAATATAGATAATAGAGCTCATTTATTTCCTTAACATTTCAGAGCTCCGCAGATGGGAAAACACAACCCAGTGGAAATTATTTCTGGCAACCTTGAGAAGATATGTTAGCATTTTGTGGCATTTCTTTCAGTGACATGTAAAGCATGGCTTTCCCTCATTGCAGTGTCACAGTGAAGTGTCACAATAAAGCCAAAATAGTGTGCCCTCAGGGAAAACTAGGGAAAGGGACCATTTTCCATGCACACACAAAGGGTAATATTTATTATAAAGCCTTTCATTTTAGCTCCAAATGCTTCCTGGGCCATGGCTACTTTGCAATGGAGAAATGCACAGAATGTGAGATTTAAAGTAAATGTTGTGTATAAATCTCATGTAATTTACATAAATATAAATAACATATAAAAAATTAAAATGCCTTTATGGACATACAAGCATGCATAAATCTATACAGTGTCCTAAGGAGAGAGTTTGTGATGTTGCATTGTGGCAGCGTCAGCCTGGCAGTGATGGAGTCCAAGGAGCACTAAACTGGGAATCAGAACAATTCTATCTTGATCTATTTCAGCCACTACCAGGACCGATGTCATCTTCTTTGTCTACAACACGTGATACAGAAATTACTACCTGTATTCGAGGGATGAGGAATTTAGTCTTCAAAAAAACTCAATTATTCTTCTCAGATTACACAGATAATGTTCCTTAAGGAACTTTATGCACAGTATCAAATACAATCATTTCTTTTAAGCCTAATTTGTACTTTTGATAAAACCTTGCATATCTCCTTCATCCTTGCACAGTTATTATTTGGACCTAAACACTGAACTTGATTTTTACTACCATTAAGTGCCATCTCATTAGGTTCACTCTGCTACTCCAGACAATGGTCATTTGAGGGGGTCTTAATTACATTTGCAACATGATTCCATTGCTGCAATTCAGTATTATCTCTAGATCTGATGAGTGTCCTGTTTATCTGCACCTCAATCTTTGGGCAAAACCCTGTGATAGGCAGCTTCCTTCCAGTTAGATAGGAGCTGGTTGATTAGGTATTACTCCACTCAGTTGACAAATGCACATGGAAATTAACCAATTTTATTGTTTTAATTTGGTAAATGTAGGAGAGAGCATGAGCTTTAGGGTCCAGCAGCCTGGGATTCAAATGTCAGCTCCACTGATTACCAGATAACCTGATTTTGAGAATACTTGTCTTTATATGTAAATTTGGATAACAATATTAACAAGACAAAGTCTGTAAGGATCTTACGGGTAGTTAATGTTCAGCCTCATTCATCAAGCATCAAAGAAATGACATTTTTCTGACTGACCAGTTCTTTCTAACTAGTCGCCACCCAGGTCTTATTGAACAGTGTTTCCTGATACTGACAAATCTTTGTTTTGATAAACTTTCTTGGTCTCTTTCCCAGAACCAATGGTATGTTTATATTGGTTTTTAGAATCCACCTTTCTTCCCTGCTTTAATACCTGAATGATGTTTGCCAGGAGCCTCTCTTCTTAGTTTGAGATAATAGTTTAGTGGTCTTTCATATTTTCTGAGCATCTTCAACGGAAGTTCACTTGATTCTGGAGACTTCCACTAGTTTGGGGAAGTTCTTAAACTTACCGCATATACTTAGGAGATGTAGCCTTTTTTTATATGCTTCTCTGTCCCTCTTCCTTCCAAGGTCAGTCTCCTTGACAAAGAAGACTAGTGTAAGGGTAATTCTGGTTTTATGCCTACTTGTATTATATCATAACCGCATGTTGTAGACTTTTCCTTGACAAACCAGTAGATAATAGGATTCCACTTTCAACAGTCTCCACATAAATGCCTGTTTGCTCCATAGTCATCTGGAGTTTGCTCCATAGTCATCTTTTTTGCTCCATCTTCTCTACAGGGTTACTTTAAATTTGGACTCATGAGAGAGATTTTATAAAGGGAAATTAGTTTATTTGGGAACTTCATTATTCTCTTCCTCAGGATAATTTTCAATCATTCACTTTTTAATCTTTTTTTAAAAGATTTGTAATCCTCCTGGACTCTCTCCTTATAGATTCATTTTTTCCTAGAAGGAATAACACTCCCATTTTTTTCCCTCTGAAGTTTTTTTTTTTTAATTTAAGATTTTATTTATTTGAGAGAGCAAGAGAGAGAACACAAGCATGGGGGTAGGAACAGAGAGAGAGGGAGAAGTGTCTCCCCGCTGACCAGGGAGCCCGATGCAGAACTTGATCCCAGGACCCTGGGATCATGACCTAAGCTGAAGGCAGACACCTAACTGGCTGACCCACGCAGGCACCCTCCCTCTGAAGATTTTTTAATCTAGTTGTTATAAGTTCAAGAATCCATTCATGACTATAATCTTTTTTTATGAATGGGCCACCATCTTTGGACTGATATTCCCAAGAGAACAATTTAAGACTTTTGTCTATTTGATAATATTACTGTGTATTCAGTCATTTTTTTGTGATGGAGTAAATAATATCTCAAATACTTGGAGTCTAAGATTCTCTATTCTGGATCTTTGCTTCTAAATCTCTTGCATTTTTCTTCAAAGGGCGTTTAATAAATATCTCTCACAGACTCACTGTGGGCTAAATCCTCTGGTCTTCCTGGATCTTGCCAAGAGAATGTTTGTCTTAACTTCAGCACATAGAGTGATCTGCATTAATTCTGAGTGAGCTATATGTAGGAAATCTGTTTTGAAAGAGCTGCTCTCAGGAGCATTTCCAAACAAAATCATATGAGGACAGGAGTAAGGATAAACTGTTGTCCATTTTTGTGAAATCCAATCTTATTTCTCCTCCTTTTATTTGTTTGTTCTGTGTGCCAAATGGGTGAAAATCAGAAGGCAGAATGCCAGGTAGCATCTTTTCACCTTTTTTTAAAGTGTATGTGTGTGTGTGTGTGTGTGTGAGAGAGAGAGAGAGAGAGAGAGATATTGGAGATGGGTTGATGGAATGTTCCTAGCTTGCCCCTCCTTTTATGCTTTCCTCTTTCAGGTCAAACTCAGGATGTGGCATCTCAAGTCTGATCCGCAACTGTGACAGAGATAAGCAGTTTGGGTAGCAAACAACTATTTGAAAAACCTTGTGATTTATCCATACTGGACATGTTTTTGTGTGTGTGTGTCTGGTGGTATATTTTTCACATTAGCTGTTTCTTAGGATTAGCAAACCAGTGCAAATCTTGTTTCATCCCTCCCTGGGTATTTAATGTAGTGCCAAGCAAAGCACAGATTAACATATGCTTACTCAGGATTAAGGATGATTTTTTTTTAAAAAAACTCTTCTGATAGACAGTAAAACAGAATCCACACAGTTCAGTAGATTCAATGGGTGGGCTGTTTTTGTTAGTGCCAACACCTAACCCTAAACTTTATTCCCAGGTTCCACGGGTTTTGGGTTATACTTCATGGAAATCAAATTAGTGGCAAGTATGTGGTATAGTCTTTCTCCATGTTCTTCCCTCAATCACTACAGTGCTGCATATGATTGCTCCATGGCGAAGAAGAGGAGAGCTGCAGAGCAGGCTTTGGGTGTCCCAGTCAACAAGAGAAAATCCCTGCTAATGAAGCCCCGACACTACAGCCCAAACCTGGACTGCAGAGAATGTGATGACAGGACCGAGGCAGAGGAGGAAGATGGCCTCCCGGAAGCCAGCGATCACACTGCCACAGGTAGCAAGCGGGAATAGCCCAAACTTTTATCTACTCCCTGACACCAAAGCCTCAGTCTTAACTTATGTAGAACATCCAGTCTTTGTGGCTGTAGAAGCAAATTCCCATTTGAAAGCAAAACCAAACATTTATTCACTTGGCATCCATTTACCGAGAGCCAATTTTTTTTTGTTTATCAGTAACTGCGGGAGTCTAAATTTAAGTCATAGAGAGTTCTTGCCTTAGTCTGTTTTCAAAAGCACAGAATTGGAGTGTGCCTCTTTTTGAGGAAAATAAAAGATACTAAGCCTTAAAGAGTACCTTGACTCCCTAATAGAACAGATGTCTATCCTTGAAAGAACCCTTAAAAATAAAAGGACATATTTAAGCCTAAGGTATCTAAGATATGACATATATAAATAAAGAATTTACTTCTTTATAAACACACAGAATATTATTTGTCCCCCCAAATATAATAGGTATTAACAACATAGGCTAATGCAGGTGACCTGTGACCCTAATCTTTTACCATCTTTAAAATAAATACTTATAGCAATGGACTTAGCAGAAGGGACCCAAAGTTGGGAGCCTAGATCCTTCAGTAGGAAAATGATGTGTTATAGAAAATGTATCACTGTGCCCATTAGTTCTGAAATAAGTGATTTTCAATTACCTTTAGGCACACATTGTATTTCATGAATTCAATTCTTCACTTGCTCACAAAATGCTCTTTGCATGCTAAGTGATATATAGTTACTATTTTGAAATTTTAGGATATGCTTCTCCCCAGTTCACAGTTACTCCTATTGGGTTCATGGTGGTCACAGTGTCTCCAGGAGTTGGACCATCACCAACCACTTTGTGCTTGAGGCTGAAATTGAAGGACATGCAAATATCTCAAAAATTTATGAAAAAAATAAATGGAAATCAAAAGTTTGACTGATTAGAAAATGAAATGAGGTGTACATATATTCTATGAAATATGTTTTTTTCTGAATGTGATTTTTAAAGAATCAAAATATACTAAATATGTGTCATTTGAAAAGAAGTATGTACGTTACAAACCATAGGCAAAGAGCTCTTAGATCATAAGTATCTATTATAGACAGAATTAAAGTGACAGCAATAGGGATTACTAGAAAAGATGTAAAAGCATACTGACTGAACACAAATTCAGGACACAACCATCAGATCTTCAGTAATCTTAGCTTGCAAGTAGTTTGAGATTCTGTAGTGAAAACAAAGCTGTATGCTGATTTGACAGTGTTTAAGCAAATGTCCTGGATTCCCTGTATTTACCATATGGCTTAAAGCCTCATCATTCATCTGTAAATTATAATGAGCCTTGACTCATCTTGTTTCCTTGAGCTGGTCCACTTTTTGTTGATTTATGAAAGCTGTAGGTTGAATCTAGTATTAGGGAGGGTCCTTGAATCGATGTGGTTAGATTTGAGCTATAAAATTCACCTAGTTGACATTAACTCACCAGCTGTTTTTTTTTTAAATGGGCATCTTTTACACCAACCCATTCTTGTAAGTGCCATGAGGACAAGGACTATATCTGCACCCTAATTTCCTGCCTTTTATGTTAGTTGTGTGATCATCATAGATGCCCAGTATCCACCAAGAAAATATTCTGTCAAAATGTACTCAGTGAAACATTCAGTTAGAAGCACTGATGGACAAATATTTGCAGGTTCACAAATGTTATCTATTTTTATATTTAGCACTGGAAGCACTATTAATAATGAATATGCTGAAATTGTAGTGGTAGTGGCCATTATTTTTGAATGCTTAATATATTCCAGGCACATAAATTATATCACTTAATCCACCCCACGATGACATGAGGTATGCATGATTATGGTCCCAATTTTACAGATGAGATCATTGAAGACCAAAGAGATTTAATGCTTAAGGTAATGCAACTTGTAGGTGTTGAAAAGAAGATAATTAGGTAACAATTGAAGGATAAGCAAAATAATTATTTCCCAGCTAACTGTGTTCCATATTCCAATCCTCCCATGCTCTGACTACTTTCCAAAAGTAGAGAGGGCAGTATTCTATAACATCCGATCACAAAGTTACGTTTCCAGAAATAACAGGTCACAGATGCTCTTACCCCCAGCTGAAAGAATCTTAAGTTGTTTTCAGACCTCTGAGCAAGTTACCTACCCCTCCAGAGGGAAAGGGGGGTTTTCACCGGTCATCTCATTTACTCCGGGTTCCCCGAGGCCTTTTCCTTGCACGTGTGTGTCCAGTTGTGCCTTCAGCAGGTGGTTCAGATGATGAAGAAGGGGGCAGTGCTTAGGAAGGCTTTAATTCCTGGGCTTGAATCCATTTAATAGCAAAATAATGTCTCAAGCCCTCAACTGGGTGTCTTTCAAACAACTGCAGGTACGCATTAATGGTGATAGAAGAGAATGTGGACAAACCTTACAGATACACCTTCTTCACTGGGGCAAGCAGAAGATGAGCTTGTAAAGTACTACCAGGCGGTAGGACAAGTGTGTGCTTTCCCAATGCCAACAAGGAAAAGAAGAGTCGCCTGGAAGTGAGATTAGCCACGTGTATGGTGTCCTTCCTCAGTTTCTAAACTCAGAGTCATGACGCAGGGAAATCTGTCACAACTCTAGGAGCTCTAGGGGCTGAAATGATCATTTTAACACATCTTATCTCTCAACGAAACACAAATAAGGGATAAACCACTATGATTTTAGAATTTTGAAAGAATAATTCATTTTTCTAGGGCTTTAATTCTTAGCAAGATTTACATAGTCAAGAGACCTGGAAAACTAACATATGTATACAAGTAACTTTGATAGTTCTAGAAAGAGAACTAAAATCCAATTAAAATAAAATCCAGTTATATTAAAGGAGTCAAACTCCAAACTTGTGATTTTCAGAGGAATTTTTAAAGTTGTTTTGAGGCAGAACATCTGAGAGATAATGTGAGAGTCATTAGCATATGCTTTCTAGGATTACCAGACCCCTTAGAGTAGAGACTTTGGTTTCAAGCAAATAAACAAATGTGAAATTTTTCATATCAGGCAAAAACTTTTTTTTTTTTTTTTTTTTTTACTTCATGTCGCAGAAGGTGTCATCCAGCTCTGGCCCCTCCTCCTGCCCCACACTTTGAAATCCTTTCAGGAGGAGAAAGGTGTGTGCTAGGTAAACATCCAACTCTCAGTGTCCCCAGGGAGTGTGCCCAAGGAATTTTCTGACCTACACTGTTATATGGAGATAGCCAAGGCATGGGTACTTGTTAATTTTTGTCTTGTTATTGCTGCTTATTCATTTTTACATATTTTATTTATAATTTAGAAGTCATTGTTTTTTGATCAAAGTCAGGTGATAATTGTATTTTAGTATCTTCCTGTAAATTCACCCTTGAAAGTAACCAAACTTGGGAAAATAATAGACTATTAGTATTCTGAACAGTTTCTCCTAAGGGTTGCTGTGTTTTATAAGCATCAGTTGAGAAATATGAGCTTCCTGGGCTGTGGGATTTGGGGTAGCTTATTGCAGAGGGATGGCCCTGGATCTGGATGTCAGCCCCCACCTCCACCCCTGCCACCCCTGGCTAGCTGTGTGATCTTGAGCAAGCCCCTAGCCCCTTAGAAAATCATTTCCCTTCTGTAAAATTGAGCAGAAAGTCCCTTTCTTGTCATTACTATAAAGATTAAATGCAATAAAGAACTGAACACCATGCCAGGAGCATAACAGTTTATTGTCCTAGGATGTCACTGGATCATCCTCATTTAAATGATGAGGAACCAGGACTCAGACACACAGACCTGCCCCAGGGTCACACAGGCAGGTGGTGCTGAGCCAGCAGTTCGGCCCTAGTCTCTGGACCTCAAACCCGTCGTGGTTTTCCCTCCACATTGTGCACTGGGCTTTGAAGCCCCAGTTTCTGAAGGCGGTTGATGAGCAGTTCCATAGCCCGCATGGCATAGGTGGTAAACTGGCCGAGCCTCCTTCACACTGTGGGCTGTGCCCTCTCTCAGGGATCAGTTTCACTGCTTATTAAGCAGAACACAGGTCCCACCTCATTTATGTAGAGGCTCCCTTGTATCGCCTGCCTGCCTTTACTGTGCTCTAAAAGTGTATCTGGGGAAGGGAGAAGACAGCCGTCATTTACCAAACACCTGTTGTGTGGCACCTGCTTTGCGTGCTCTCGCGTGTAAATTCTGCAACGTGCCTCACCGTGTAAATGAAGACACAGGGTTCAGAAAGGTCAAGGATGCTTTTGGGGTTTGCGCAGACACGAGCACGCAAGCCTGGAATCAAATCAGGTTAGCTGTTTCAATGATAAAGGTACCAAATGAATCACCGAGCCACCATGAAAATAAAAACACACTAACGTAAACATGTAGGCAGCCCATTACAGAGCTAGGAGAAACAAGAACCTCATCACAGATCTGTCAGGTTCAAAAGCTAACTCAACTTTTTTTTTTTCTTCCAATGACAGCGAAAGCCAGAGAGGGGTAGGTATATGGGAAGTTGGTTTGCAGATTTGCGGAACATCCCTGGAAACCATCTCGCGCGATGCACATAGGCACCTCTATCAGCAGGACTCCTCTCTTTCTGAAGAATAATTAATAAATATTTTCTTTTAGCATATAACAAACAGTTGAACCAAACAATTATGTAAACTGGAAATGACCCAAAATGCTAGCTGTTGGCAGCAGCACAGGGAAACGCATTGTCCTGCACATGTGCGTTTTTGTCACTCCCGCCTCTCTGGTGATCTGCACTTAATAGGAATATTTTAAACTATGTAGCTAAGCAACAGAGGTAATTGTTGCTTTCTAGAGCTTTTGTTAGCACTCTAACACAGCCCAAATATGCATAATTAGGTATAATGTCTATAAATCATTATTGTACACATGTGGGTAGTTAAGTGGAGTGAGAGAATAGTTCAATGAATTGAGCATATTCACTAAAAATGCTTTTTATTTGTTTTCTGTAGTTCATAATACTTTAAAATTATCATAACCCTTTACACTTTCTCCTAATAGCCAACCGTGTTATTGAGAAAAATTTCATTTGCATTTTAGACTATGTTTAATATATTATTTAAACCTGGAATTCCTCTGATATGAATTCAGAAGGGAAAAGACCATCCCATCAAATGTGATGTGCTTGTTTATCCAGCCTCTTTTCTAGGAAGTAAAATGTTAAATTTTTCAGTTTATGTTGAATAGATCCCAACAAAAGACTGCACCCTATAATCAGCATTATTTAAAGGGGCTAGTGTTGTGACTAAATTCTTCCCTTCATCCAAAAATGCTTTTAGTTACTATGGCAATATTTACTTGATCCTGGCAGTCCAGTGTTGATTTAGGGAGATAATTACCAGAAAGGAAGATGATGGAGATGTATTTTTGAGTGTCCTTGTCAGAGACAATGTTTATAAAAAATTAAATGAGACCAAAAAAGGCACATTGTCTCCTCCACAGACACCCTTTCCTGCAGCCATCACGCAGGATGGCTGTCCTTTTCTTCCCTCCAAAGATGTTTATTAACACAGAATGCACTTCACTTGGTGTCTTTCACAGTCTTTAAGGGGGCTTATTATTTTGCGCTGCCCATCCTCCACTCTGCCTTCAGAGACACAGAAATGGTCCTTCTTCTCCTTCTCCTCCTCCTCCTTCTTCTTCTTCTTCTTCTTCTTCTCCTTCTTCTTCTTCTTCTCCTTCTTCTTTTGTCTGACTGAATATTTAAGGGGACCATTGCTGGGTTGTCTGGTGCATTTCACAGCCGCATGTATGCTGGGTGTCATGCTCCCCTGATCACCATGTATGTTAAGCCAGGGCTGGAACACTAGCAGATCTGCACCCTGAATTGTACCCTTAATTGGGTGCAGGCTTGGGTAGGCTATCATTTATATATATATATATATGTATATATATATATGTATATGTGTGTGTGTGTGTGTGTGTGTATGTGTGTGTGTATATGTATACACTCACACACACACATACACACACATACACATACACACATATGTATATGTGTGTGTGCGTATATATTATATATATAGATATAATACATATGTGTGTGTGCACATATACATGCATGCATGCATATACATATACATATGACTATACATGCACATACTGTCACTGCAGCTGGGCCACTGCCAAGGATGAAGGGGATGACACTGATAACTGGACTGGGACAGATCCAGTGGACTGTTCTGGACAGACTGGCATGCAGAGACCTGCTCTTAGTCCCAAGGCTCTCTGACTGTCAAGACTCCAGTCGGCCAGCTACTGAAAACAATTCGTTAATGTTCTACATACTTGGCCATCTCCATCTCTCATCTCATTGTCTTCTTACGCAAATGCATGCACGTACCAGGCCAGAAAATGTGTCACTATTTTATGTTTTTGACCATGCTGGAAAGCCTGGGTGGCTCAGTTGGTTAAGCTTCCAACTTTCTGATTTCAGCTCAGGTCATGATCTCAGGGTCCTGAGATCAAGCCCCACGGTGGTCTCTGCACCCAGCACAGAGTCTGCTGGTGATTCTTACCCTCTGCTCTCAATCTCTTCCTCAGTCTCTCTTTTCTCTCTCTCAAATAAATAAACAAATAAATAATCCTTTTAAAAAAGATATTTGGGGGCACCTGGGTGGCTCAGTGGGTTAAGCCTCTGCCTTCGGCTCAGGTCGTGATCTCAGGGTCCTGAGATCAAGTCCCTCATTGGGCTCTCTGCTCGGCAGGGGAGCCTGCTTCCTCCTCTCTCTCTCTGCCTGTCTCTCTGCCTCTTGTGATCTCTCTCTCTGTCAAATAAATAAATAAAATCCTTAAAAATAAATAAATAAATAAATAAATAAAATTAAATAAAGATATTTGATCATGCTAATTCTCCCATTTACTTGCATTTCCCTTGGCATGGAATTTCTGTGTGACAGTTCTGAAAGTCAACAGGAAACCTTGAAAGCTTCAGAACTCTCTTAGTTATCATCTGTATGTGGATATATTCTGTCTTTTAACTAACATCCCATAAAATCTGAAAGTATGTTTGAGAAACTGTGGAGGCAGTGAACATAAACCAAATAAGCTTTGAAAATACGCTGCCATGCTAGCAGAGAAATTTAATGTTTCCTTTATGCATAGTATTATACATATTTGATTTCCTTCTGGTTGGTTAGGATTTGCAAATATAAGAGGTACAGTAACAACAATTTTACATTCAGCATTCTGTTATTGCTAAGTATCTATTTCAGTATCCTGGAAACAATGAGCTGTTAATATGCTGAAAATTTTACTAGCTCACTTCTTTAAATGCAATTCTCAGAACATTAAGGTCTGTTTTGTTTTGTTTCATATTCATTCATATATATTTTTCTCTTCAATGTTTATAAAGTTGATAGAATCCACATATTCACATGTTGTACTTATGATACATATATATGATATATGAATATATACACGTACATATATATATATATGTACATATATATATATAAATCTGTCTCTCATCTACTTATTGGTGCAATTTTCTTAAAATATTTTTTGCTGTTGTTTTTTAAGTATTGGCTTTCTTTTTCCATAGAAGAAATCGTGATAAAACCTATGGATGAAAACCTTCATTCGACTGCACAAGAAAACTCCAATGGGAAGGAAGACAGATATGGCTGCTATCAAGAGCTTGTGGTCAAATCTTTAATGCACTTGGGGAAATTTGAAAAAAATGTGTCTGTTCAGACCATAAGTGAGAATTTAAATGACAGTGGCATCCAGTCTCTAAAAGCAGAGAGTGATGAAGCTGATGAGTGCTTTATGATTCATTCTGATGATGGAAAAGGAAAGATCGATGATTCCCAGCTTCAGTTCTGCTCCTCAGATGACAGTGAAAGTAACTCTGAAAGTGCAGAGAATGGTTGGGACAGTGGCTCCAACTTCTCAGAAGAAACCAAACCACACAGGGTCCCAAAGTATATTCTAGTGGATAATAGAAAAGACCTATTGGAAGTTCCTGAAATAAAAACTGAAGGTGACAAGTTTATCTCTTATGAAAATATGTGTGATTCTGAAACAGAAAGGAGAGACCCACAGAATGCCCCTATGGAACCGCTGGACAGCAAAGCCCAGCCCTCATTCACTGGGATGGAGGAAGATGATAACGAGTGTCTGACAGCCATGACAGAAGAGTCTGTTGACCTGGAGAAGGCGAAGGGGAACTTTAGTTTGCTGGAGCAGGCGATTGCTCTCCAAGCTGAGCGAGGTTGTGTTTTCCATAACACCTACAAAGAGTTGGACAGGTTTCTACTGGAACACCTTGCTGGGGAAAGGAGACAAACCAAAGTTATTGACATGGGTGGAAGACAAATCTTTAACAATAAACGTAAGACACATTTTTTTTGCATTTATTTTAGGAATAAAATTGCCTTGATGGTTGGAAGAAAAATTATTAAGATTTGATTATCACTTCCAGATAGCTTTTGACAACTTGATGCAATTTAAAAACCAATTCATATTGTAAAATAACAATATCTTTTTTTTTTCCTCTGTCTGCTCTCTAGCTTGTTCTCAGATCAAGCTTGGTCAGTTTTGCAATGTTTTTACACATGAAGAAGGAATCATTGCCTCTTTTTCTCTTAATTTGACAGCTTTTTAAAAAATATATAGTATTTGTACAGTACTATATTGGACATGTTAGAGGGACGTTAGTACTTTTTGGATTTTAAATCATTTTATTAATCAAATCAATTCCAGAAATTTAATTTTTCTTTTCCACTTTCTTATGGGGATCATCTGACTCCTTTGGAGGAGCTTCAAAATAATGTTGAGCTACTGGCAAGTTGGACAGGATGCTCTGATCCTTCTTAGGATAAAACTGAATGCTAATGCCTTTAGAAGCCTTGTGCTTTTACCAGGTCTCTAACTCAGGGCCACAAATATCTGGTCCAAACACGAATGAGAAGAATAAATGTGCTTGCAGGAGGCCTTAAAACTGTTCCTCAACTTTAGTGAAATTATGTCCTATCTCCCATAATGCTACTCCTCCCCCCACCCTGAGTCTTACACCAGATGGGCCTGGTGATAATTCCCAAATGGTGGTTCTCAAGTGCCTAGAAGGCTTGTTTAAGATGGGTATTTCCAGGATCCTATCAGACTTACTGCTCCAGAACTTGCCTTTTTTTAAAGCACGCTTTTCAGATGATTCTTGTGTACCTTGAAGTCTAAGAACCACAGAATTAGAATATCTTAGAGAAAATTAAGGTCATGTCCCCAGGAAGCTTACAAGAATAATATGTTAGTTATGGTTTGGTTGATCTGCTTTCTGAGATTTATGCAGAAATGAACTGTATATTTTGTCATTTGGGGTCTATTGTAGTACTCACCTGCAATCTTGTCAATTATTGTCTTGCAGCTCAGAGCTGAGAAAACAAAACAAAGAATAAAATAATGTCATGTAGTGAAGAGCAAGATAATAATACTATGCAAACACACTTGCCAGGATTAGGATCAAGATAGAATATCGATGCAGTGTATGATTTGGGACAGGACCCACTGTGAGCTTTGTATACTCCACTAATATGCAACGTGCTAAACTTGCCTGTGTGCATATTTGTTATTTTTTTAAATGGGCTACAAAACCAAAAAAAAAAAAATAGATAAATTTGACCTCAAATCCTAAAAAGTCATAATTTGTCATTTACTATATTTCATTCATTCTAAGATACAAAGTTTTCCCATTTTAACATCTCTGAAATCAAAAGGGTATGCCATAATTTAATTTTCAGTAATTTTTTTCTTGCTTGCTAATACACAAAATGCGGCACTATGTTGCAGCTGATGATATCTTCTAGCTCCATGAAATTCAGTGTTTGGAGAAACTTTAATTCTTTGTGCCATAGCTTACAATATTTGACAATCTTTTGGTCATTTTTATAGAACTTGAAACTTTTTGTTTACAAAAACCACCAAGGCAATAGAATCTGTGTTTGTAAACGTGGGTGATATAAGGTTTAGAGAATTATGAATGAGGCTGGTTAATTCAATAATATATCCTATTATGTGAGGCATAGTCCGGCCTTGCAGCGTTCAAAGCCTTTGCAAGAGGTCCAGACCAGACTAGTATGAAAGAGAGGCAAAAAGAGGTAAGGCCCATAATGCATGGGAACTATAGGCTTCATCTAGAAGGTACTTGCAGAGTCCAAGTTAGATATTGACTTTCTTCTTCCTCATCCCAGATGTGGGACATAGTGGCTTATGAGCAGCTTCTTCCTCTGGTGAGCATTCCATGCTCTTAGGTCAATAATCATACCAGCTGAGATTCATGATCTCCACAATATCATCCTAATTTCCCATATACCCTGGGCATGAGACCCCGCTATTAAAGGAGAGAACACTAACATTTTAAAGTATCGTTTTACCCAAGTCTGCAGATAGTCAACAATTCTAAACAATTTTTTTAAAAAGTTCGGCTATCTCGTTGCTACTAAGATTTAGTGAGATTTTAGGTCACAGTGTGTATGGAGTCCCCATAGAATTTATTGTACAGCGTAAGGCACTTTCAGAGCAAAGGGGAGTGCTACAAACAATCACAGGAGTGTATCAGGTGCAAATAAGATAGTCCCAGGCATACCCACATGTAAGTTCACCAGAGTATAAGGTCACTCTCATTATGCAGCATTCAGCAAAGAAAATAAAAGGAGAGGAAGAGCCAGGCCTGAGAGTCACCTGAGAACTCAAGCTCTGCCTTCTTATCATGCAAACAGGTTCTGCCCCACAGAGCATTTCATGGCATCTGTTTCACCCAGCAGAGAAGGCTTGCAGACAAATGTGCATGATGGACTGTCAGTGGACCACACCTGGTCAGGTGCCAGCCCGGCCTTATCTCCCACACCCTCTCTGGCTTCCTATAGACAAATAATGTGGCAAGGAGGGGAAATGCACAGCGCCAAACCTTTCAATGTGGTTTAGAAATGTGGCCTCACCTGGACCAGGTCCAAGGGAGGAAGGGCATCAAAACCCACATTGCTTTTCCTCTTTTCTAATTCCTTCTCATATGCAGTGTCAACCACCGTAATGTCACTTGAATCAAACTTCATGGATTTTTGACTCTCCATCTACAGATACTATAGGCCTAAAACAACTTCACAATTAGCAACATTTTTGGATTAAGTAAAATATATAGCCATAAAAGTCAAAGAACATGTCAAAACTCTTAATATGCCTCTTTGTTTCTTGCAAAAGACAGAGAACAATCCCGATACCATGGCATTTAAATCCTGTCTTTCACGAAACATAAATGTCTGATACTTAAGGCATCCTTGTCTTTGGGTTGTTCATTTCTCACTTTCGATTTCCAGTTTTCTCTGCTGACCTTCCCTCCCAGGCAGTGTGTGCCTAAGCTGAAGGATCCTTGGCTCCTCCCCCTTTAGTGAAAGCATGCCCCCAAATAATTGCATTACATACAACCTGCTGTGCCCATCTGCCCAGGACTGTTTATAATCCAACAACTGGGGTGACGTGGTATCACAGAGGCACGTCTGCTCATCGCAATATCCCACCCTGGAGATGGCTGTCGCATCCCGCGACATTGCTCTGCTCTCGGTACTAGGCTTGGAGCAGGAGCATATGGGCCCGCCGCATCCTCACGCAGCAGGGTTCTGCCCCCGAGTCCACCGCCGACAGCTTTCCTAAAACAGGATCACACAGATTATTTATTTTCACTCTCAGCATCAAGTGGATTCATTATTCGTGATACTTCATGTTCTGAGAAGCCTGCGGCCAGCCTCCATTCCACACTGGTCCTTTCTCTGATGCTCCCATGTCCATTGTGATTCTGGTTCCTCTGATCATCAGTGCTGAGAGACAAGATTGTCCCAATGATTGGTATATCATTCCAGGCACAAGTTAGGGGGGTGATTTGGGCTCCAAAAACGCATTTCTGTTTTCGGTTTATTATCTCAGTCACAAGTATGAAAATATCTGCAGAAGGCCTCTGCTGTGGTAGCTCTAACCCCACCAAAATTCATGATAATCCTCATTTATTTTACAAATTTATATAACCTTTCATCTAACCCTCAGCAAAGTGTAGGCTGGAAAATTAAAACCCCAGCTCACCCTCCGACCTCCCCCTCTAGGTCAATGCCTCACGGCAGCCTGACTAGCAGTGTTACAAAGTGCCCCTTTTCTCTGCCTCCTGGCACCTGTGGTCCCCTTCTATACCCCAATGTTCTTGGTGGTACAGACCACCCAAGGCCAACCCCACCCTGTATTTCCATTCTTCCTAGAATGTTTCCTTGCCAGGCTGTCCTATCACCTGAGCTTTCAGTTTCTGCATTCAGAGTAAAATGAAAGCTGCTTCTCTGTAGCTGCTCTCTCCTGATCGATCCAAAGTGGCAATGCATTGGGATTTGGGGATCTGGGCCCTCTGCAGCACGGCCAATTGTTTGGGCATGGCACAAGATGCCATTGTTGACTCCCTCCCTGACTCTAGCCAGAGCGGGCTCTACATGTATGAGGGAGCAGCACTTGGACCTGGAACCTTAGGGCCACAGGAGGCCAGGGACCTGCAGGAACAAGACCAGAGCAACCCTTCTCAGATGGGGTTTCTTCTTTGTTAGTTTAAATACCTTCTTCTTTCTCACTTTTTTTTTTTTTTTTTTCCTTTTCAGGAGCTTAGGCATCGTCTGCCTCTGGCGTGGGGTTCGTTTTTCATAACGAGACACTAACTACAATATGTGATATGACAACTTAAAACCATCTCTGTATTTTAACACTCCCTTGCCCTATGTCAGTCTTTGTTTAGAAAACCAAGAAAATTGAAAACATTTTTTATGCTTCCACAGGTCTTAGTTGAGGGTCTTATTCAAGGCAATGTGAGAAGAATGTTTATGCTGTAAAAACTGAGTGAAGTGAGAATGTCACCCTGCAAGGCCACTCTAGAGAATGGGGAGGGAAAGAAGAGCCAGATGAATCTCTTGATTTAATTTCTCTGTAGATTCACCAAGGCCTGAAAAGAGGGAGACCAAGTGCCCTATCCCCGGGTGCGATGGCACGGGACACGTGACAGGACTCTACCCCCACCACCGCAGCCTTTCGGGGTGCCCCCACAAAGTGCGGGTTCCCCTGGAAAGTGAGTATGACATATCCTTAAAACCAGTAGGCTTCGTCTTAGTGCACCACAGCATTATGATCTTATCCTCTTTCTCCTCCAATGTGGAATTCGGAATGGAAATACAAAGTTTCCTTTCTATGTCAAGAAAATTTCCATCTAGCTGGGTGTTTAAAATCAATGTGTTAATAGAAAACCTGAGAGTACAGTTAGGACAGTAGGTTAGGAGACAACCGACATTGCGAAGAGAATTTGTTATAGTTCCTGAAGGGTGGGGGTGTGCCACAACAGGCAGGGCCACATAGGGGAGCATCAGGGTCATCAGGGGCCAGGGATGGGGGGAACTTCTGGTTTCTGTGGGAAGGAGCAAAGTAAGCAGTCTTAAGACTGGCTAGTTTGAATTCTTTCAGTAGGCTCCAAAGCTTGAGGGTTGTCTATAGGTGTCTGATACCTGGCAGGTGGAGAGTGTGAGTTTAATAAAAGAGGCAGTTGGGCGTGGGCTCACAATTGGTTGATTTGCCTTTAAAAGCTGTTTGAAAGGGCAGTCTCTCCAGGGTTTGCCAGGGCCCAGATGACAAAGCATCAGAGTACAGAAAATAAAAGTCATGGTTAAAATTAACTGTGGACTGCACAGTCCTTTCTCACCCAGAGGTGTGGCTTCCTTAAGCCCAGGAGCGGTTTTGGCCTCAGTGCATCATCTAAATATAAGAAGTGCATTCCAGGGGCACTTGGGTGGTTCAGTTGGTTAAGCATCCGACTATTGATCTCAGCTCAAGTCTTGATCTCAACGTTGTGAGTTCAAGCCATGAGCTGGGCTCCACACTGGGCATGGAGTCTTTAAAAAAAAAAAAAAAAAAGGGCATCGTCACCAGGGTCCTCCCTACTCCCCATCTCCCCATTCCGTGTAGGAACTTGTGATGCCTGCCATGCCTCTCGAGGGCATCCTGCAGTAGCAGAGGGCCCTGAGCAAGAGCAAACATTGGTGGCTTCTCTACCCTCAGCCCTGCTGTGAGCTAGGAAACTGGAGGAGAAGGAAAGGGCTGTCTTCTAAGTTTTGAAGTATCAATGTGTTACATCCTCTACTTCTTTAACCTACATATTGAAACACCCGTGGGTCGTACAAGCCGCAGTGGTGGGAGTGCCTCAGCATCACCCTCCTCGAAAACACAGCTTTACAAGTCAGTGCATCTAATCTGTTCAGCGCTGTCCCGGTAGATTACCAGTTCCTCAAAGTGACTACCGAGTTGTTCACTCAACCATGCTCTTCCACCAATAACTGAATGGCAGTGCAGGGGGGAGTGCGGAGCAATGGACAAGAATCAAAGTAATATCTCTTAGAAAATAAAGAACACTATATTCAGAACTTCACACCGTGAGGAAAAGTTAACAGGAACTACTTGACAAATAGTGTTCTCCATCCACTTTTCCAAGGAAAAGCACATAAATATAAAAGGAAGGTTATGAGCCTCTCATTTTAAGTTAAATACCAACAGAATAGACTTATTTAAGTCTAGTGTTAACCATGACATGACGTTTAAAGAAACTAAAACTTGAACACGCTGCTGAATTTAGTTTTTGAAGTTCTTGAGTGCTCATTAATTTCAACCAGAACATTTATGGGGGGAAGAAAGGCAGATTATATAACCAAATTCTTATGAATGCAAAGTTGAGAAGTCAGTTTGTTAGCATGCTATGTATTCATGGTATACTATTCTTTTCTTTTTGTGATATTTTGTGCTCAGTTCTTGCCATGCATGAAAACGTGCTCAAGTGTCCCACCCCAGGATGCACCGGAAGAGGGCACGTGAACAGCAACCGCAACACCCACAGGAGGTAATTGTGATGAGAGGCTACTCTTACCTAACGAAGAGAAGTGAGACAGACTTCCCACGGAGGAAATAAGGAACTAACACTGTGTCATCAAAATCTCTGGATCACTATCAAATATGTTACCACTTGAAATAGATAAGAAATATTCTCAATGTATACAGAGTAAAAAACAAAAAACAAAAAAACACACTTTACCTTCTGAGAAATTATCATTTAACAGACAGGCAAACAAAAAAAAATGTTCTATTTGAACACTAGAGTTATACATTCATATAAGCATATAAACAGAACATGTTCTTTTTTGCTCTGGAACTTCACCATAGCCGTTTTGACACTGAAAAGAGTTGTGTAGGGTTTGTCTTGGATCCCATCCAATAAACATTAACAAGGTACCAAAAGGGCTTCAATCTACTGTGGTTCTGACCATAAGCCAGGAGGAAGGTAAACATCATTTCATCTCATTGAGATTCATTACGTTGAGATTCCTACTCACTTAAAACACACATGTGCATTTACATACAAATGTATTGTGTGGTATGTAAATATATACGGTGTATCTATTATGTGCTCACAAGATACTATGTAACTCGTAAGCATATTGCCAGAAAACTTCATATTCTACACTTTATATATATATATAAAATAAATCAGTATATAAGTATACTGATTTAAAATTAAGTCCCTAACATTTTTCTAAAAATCTTGAGATAAATCATAGAATTATCATGCTAACATCTATAGCTGGGCACATTGCAATTGGAGTGGGTACATTCTACTTAAAATGTTATAGACTTTCAGAATAATTCCCTTACATAATTTTCCGATTTTTAAAAATGAGTTTGCTACTCATCACTTCTTAGATGGGATTGGGGGGCAAATGTTGACACGGTAGTTTGCAAAACCCTTCTGGGATCTATTAGCATGAGAAAGGTGCTAAGTGAACTATTAATATGACTTAACATTTAATGCGTGCCAAATATGTTGTGAGGTACATGCCAAAGCAAATTACTTTATCTTTTTAACTCAAATCCTCCTTTTTAATTTTTTTTTAACAGTCTTTCTGGTTGTCCAATTGCTGCAGCTGAAAAATTGGCAATGTCCCAGGATAAAAATCAGCTTGATTCACCCAAAACCGGGCAGTGTCCTGACCAGGTTCACAGGTATGACCCTCCCATGACGTTCCTAGTAGTCTGTCCATGCCATGCCCTATGCAATGCGTCCAGCTCCCCTCATGTGCCAGTTCACTATGGCCCGACCTTCATTCACAACTACCAATGTCTATTTGAGAGGCTGGTCCAGTTAATCATACTCTCACTTAAATGAACTGCTAGACCCTGAGAAGCTTAACATGAAATTAATCTATATGTAAAGGTAACACAATGTGGATGAATCTAAAAGAAATAAAGTGTATAACATACATTAATCAAAATTCTGTGTCACTAAATGCAACCCATCCCACTAGTCAGGTAAGCCCTCCCGATGATTGATTAACCTTTCTCCCTGCAGATAATGCCTTCATAAATCACTCACACCCACCCAAAATATGTGGTGTTATATATTCATTCCTCTGTTCCAGCTATACATATAATTTCTTTAAGGCAAAAGTACATTCCATGAATTGATAAGTGTTAATGAAATATCTCCTGTTTGCCCCAGGTACTTCACAATCTTCAGCAGTTTGGAAGACCTTACTTATACTTAAATAATAAACCACAAGTGATAGCACAATGTAAAGTTATACATTTATTAATAACAAATCATATAGATAGGAAAAGTTATTTCAGGATTAAAACAGATGACCAGATCTTCACTGTTACTGAGACACTGAAATGCAACATTGTTATTAGAAGCATTTTCAAGATATGGCTTCCCTTAATATGTGCTCTCAGAGATTTAATTAAAGAGTCAAAATCAGATGAGTGAAGAACATATGTCAAGCAAAGATCATGAATTACTGAATAATTAGCAATTAAAAATCTTAACAACAAATTTCTTGGTTAATATGGCCATATCCTCTAGTTTCTCCATAAGTAGGTTATTTATCAAATATAGAAATAGCATTTAGTCTTATTTCCCTAATTTCTTAAAAAATGTGTTTTAGACTAGGATGAAGATATATTAAGGTTATACACCAAGTTACATATCTAATAATAAGATCAACTGCTTTTTCAAATATTTTTATGTAGCAGTTTAAATGTTTTTTATGTAATCCAAGAAATATCATTGAAATTTTGACATTCTGATGAGTCAGGCATTCTTTGGTGGAAACAAAAGAAAAACATATAAGTATTTTAGATATTGCTAAATTCTGAAAGGTGTATTTGTTTATATTCATTTGCTATTAGACTATATTTGTGTTTTTCTTAACTGGGACTGGTACTACACAAATATGATGTCCTTGTTTAATCCCAATATAGTAGTTCTAAGGGAATATTTAACTCATAGCTTGGATTAAGGTAATTCTATTGCAAAATGTGATAGCTATTATGATACAAAATTTTGATTCATATTGAAATGATAACAATTTCACAGATAAAATATTGAAGTATCAACAAAAACACTGAGACAAAGGGAAAAAGGTGAAAAGTCTAGGAAGTTCACAATTCAGAAGTGAAGTTTCTGGTGCGTATGCTGCCCCTGTTAGGTGTCAGGCTCCTGTCAGCTCTGCTGAAGGAGAGTGGGATTCAGCATCACTTCTTTTGAATGGACTACAATGCCATTTCCCCACCAGCTACAAACGTGACTTTTCACCACCAGGCTGATTAATAGTCTTAATATGTAGAATGTGCACACCTTGTCAGTGCCCTAATGATAGTTAGATGGCGTTTCTCTCTGTGGAACTCGAAGTGCTAACAGACATTAAATACTTGCTGCTCATTGTATCTGCATAAGACAAATGCAAAATTGCACATTCCTCTTTTATCAATGGGAGACAGACCTACAACATGCAGCCTCGCAATAGACATCCAGAACCCTTGGTGCCTCCCATCTTTCACTCCCAGCACAGAGTACTCTCTTTTATCATACTGTGACCAGCTCTTTTCCATAGTACACTGTCTCCGTGGGTACTGACAGGCATGACACATCGGATCTGCTTTAAATTCTGATGCTAATATGCTCACTAAGAATTTCATCATAGTTCTTTTGAACTCTCCCCTCTTTCTTCAGGACAAGTTTGGTGAAACAAATTGAATTCAATTTCCGATCACAAGCCATCCCCTCTCCCAGAGCCACAGTGTCAAAAGAACAAGAGAAGTTTGGAAAAGTACCATTCGATTATGCCAGTTTTGATGCCCAGGTTTTTGGTAAACGTCCCCTCATGCAAACAGCTCAAGGACGAAAAACACCACCATTTCCTGAATGTAAGCCTCAAATTCTAATCCTTATTCCCAAAATGCATCTTGTCTATGTGTGTTTGGGGGTGGGGGTGTACTCAAATCTAGAATACATTATTTACTGCAAGAAGGAGAGAAAATATATTGTGCAGTGAAATAAAAATAAGTTATCAAGTGATAACTTGATCAGAATTACCGATTTTACATGAAGTTAAACTGAACATGGTGAATAGTTACTGGATTAATTATTCTCCAAATATCATGCCATTGTTGAATCAAAATACAGTAATTCTAAAGAAATATTTAATTCACATTCAGCTGGGTTTGGGATTAATAACAACTGTTATAGTCATCACAATACAGTAATTTTGATTCATGTTGAAATTATGGAAATTTAACAGGTAAAATATTGAAATACTACTTAAAATAGTACTTAAATCAGCAAAAGCACTTAGACTGAAAGAGAGAAAAAGTGAAGGTCTTGGAAGAAACTCACAGTTTAGAAATCAAGATTTTACAATAGGTGCAATATGTGTGACAGTGGAGAGGTTTATCCATATATTGAAGAATTAATATAGAATCATTTAAAATGTGTTAATACTCTAATGGTAGCACATCTGTATAGAAGATCATAACTCAAAGATGGTGTAATATATACAACTTGGTGTTTTTATTAACACATTTCTTCAAGTGTTTTAGAGTCCTTGAATAGCTTAATAAAAGGTAAGGAAGTAAACATTGGGATGAACCCAGATATGAATCCTGCATTACGATATCATAAGGAAAGAAGTGAAATTATTCCCCAATTTGAGTCCTCCATAGACCATGGATTCTTCACAACATGCAAATCTATGGAATCCCTTTGATCTCATACCTCTGGACCTACACTGAGTGCCTTTAGGAACATATAACATGGGCTTCATTCTGTGATGTTGGTCACTTCTTTCAAAGAACTAGATGCTATATAAAACATAGCACTGATAAACATACTTGAAAGGAGTTGACCCGTTAACAATGGAGTATGCTATACTCCAAAATATATTCTATCTATTCTGACTAAAAATAGGGCTCAGCCTAAATAACATCAACTACCTGTTAGATTTGGGGAAAAATTATATATGCACAGGTACACAATGTTTTCTATTATATATATATAAAATGTACACATATGCATACACATATACATATATGTTTAATTCAAGTGAAGCTAGTTAAGGGCATTCTATATACTCATATAATATAGATATTGTTTAAAAATGCAAACATTCAGTGACATTTTTGTATTTTTATAATTGTAGGAATCACAGTTGGAAATGTTTTAAATTGCTTCATGAAAAATAATGATCAAAGTTTACAGTAAACAAAATTTGCAGCAAAATAAATAACTAAATGCTTCTATATTATCCCACTTAAATCTTGGGTGTTTCTCCCATAACCTTGAGCAATGTTTACAAACACCCAGAGTGAAGAGAAATATGGTTAATTCTCTCACTCCGTAATGCCTTGTTGCCACAACAGTAACATAAAACAGAAACTCAGCCTTGATAACTAAAATTGCCTTTCTGCTCATCCTGAGAACACTTTCTCTGTCCTTTACTTATCATGTTTTACCTAAATATGCAAAATGCTAGCTCATTAAAGGCTCTACCATTTATTTAGTTCCATCTGGTCGGACATTAAGAACAACTTCTGCTGGTTTAAGCACAAAACAAACCTGTATATCAAATAATAAAAATAAAAATACAATTCTATGTCTAAATATAAATTGTTATTGTGAAAACAAATGTTGAAAGGGTGCACCTTTTTTTTTTTTTTTTTTTTTTTTTTTGCTACTGGAATTACTGGTCTTCACACATGCACAGTTCATAGATGTCCAAGTCTTAAGCCTCTGTAGTCCCTGACAGATTTTGCCAGTGTAGTTTTAATCCATAATTTTTGCCACGAATGCTGCCAGTGCACCTGTCCCATAACATTAGTTATAAAATTTTTACCATAAGAAGCATAAATACGAAAAATATTAAGAGAATAGACATTCTTCCCCAGTCATCACCTCATTCGATCTGTGAACTACTGTGAAAACCAATCTCAATAACCTTCACTGAGTGTACCAATGGATAATGGATCATGTTTAAATTTATTCTTAACGTATTTTAATGTAAGAAGTTATATCTCTAAAGCAAATCTATTTAATGACTAAAACACGTACATGCAATTGCTAATCAAATCTCTCTTCAACAGCAAAGCAGTTTTCAAATCCAGGGAAATTTCCTAATCGACTGCCTAGTGCAGGCGCCCACACACAGAGCCCTTGCCGTGCCAGCTCTTATAGCTACGGTCAATGTAGTGAAGACACCCACATAGCAGCAGCTGCTGCCATCCTGAACCTTTCCACCCGCTGCAGGGAAGCTGCAGACATCCTCTCCAACAAACCACAGAGTCTGCATGCCAAGGTAGGCCAGTCCAAGAGCCCGGAGGGTGGGCCAGTGACTGAACCGTGAGAATAAACTGCCTTTCATGTTCCTAACCACATTCACTACCATGCCGCTCCCCATCCCTAAAGCACATCCCTTCCTCGTCTTAGGAAGAGACTCAGAGGAGCATTGACAAGGATGAGTTTTGTGGCTTCCAGAAGGAGTGAAGGAGTGTGTTCTTGAAGGCGGTATACCAAAGCCTGGGGAGAAGTGAGTGATGGAGCCTGGCTGGGGAGGTTTATAGCTATCAAACCTACCTTTGTGTTGGGGACTTTGGCACACAAGAAAGAGGCTTGCCTTTAAAATCAAACCGAACAATGGAAGCTTTTTGCTGTCTGCAAGTCAAAGATGATAGGAAATGTTTGACCACACGGTGGCTTGTCAAACAGTTGCAAAATGGACTCATGAGATTTCTTATTGCACACGTTATGATTTTATGACACAAGATACTCTCAGTTGCTGCCGTCTCCTCAAAGGACACTGAATTAAAGGGGGATACGCTAAGTTAACAAGAGATGGTTCAGGGGTACTTTTGAGAACTCAGGGCATTCAAATCCAGAATCAAATTCTGTAAAGTTTATGAGGCCGATGAAATTAATCACATTTCTCTAATAAACCTCTCCTCCCTGACTAACAATGAGGGAGACAACCGTGTTTTTGATACCTTGATGACGACAAAAAACAAAGATCCTCCATGTGTCCCCTTTGGAGGAGGAGAGGCTTATCAGGCTACGGAGTAGCAGCAATCCTCAGATCCTCAGAGGGAGGGTAGAAGTTGCAACCGCATTCACCCAGAGCCTGTAACTCCCATCGACACAAAAGACTCAGTGAAAAGAAATCATTTTCCTACCTAGATGGCTGAAGCCCACTGAAATAAAGTGCCCAGGCTTATCTGGAAAAGAGATTTTCCCCTTGCTTTAAGTGGGAGATCTCCTGCATTAAACCCTAACCCTGAAACTCAGGCGATTTAGAGTCGATAGCTCTCTTTTTCCCTGCAAGCACGGCCCCATCCCTGGTGTGGTCAGCTGCTCACCTGTGCTGTGCCAGGCCTTCAGGAGAGCAGGGAATGCGGTGCCATAGAGCATTTGACAGAAGAATCAGAATTAGCTTCTGGACAAATCTGAGCCAAGTAAGCCCCAGGAAGAGTTGGTGGCCAAAAACCACTCAAAAACAATTTTTAAACAAATGAGGTTCTTAAACAAAGAAAAACGCATCCTCTGAAAATTATAAAGAAAATACCCACCTTTCCAAATTCAAAGGAATTCAGGTCAGACATTATTTACATCAATGAAGGATTTAGGGTGCTTTGCAATGCTACTTTGGTTTATTTTTATTCATTTTGTTAAAACCTGAATACATTCCTCCTTTTTAAAGGCACATTCTAATAGGCAGCTAGTTGGGGTAATACTAAAGTATCTTCCTTCTTACACTTTATATGATTTGTTTGTTAAGGCTGTCCTTTGAGAATAAAAGGACCACTATTATAATGATTAGCACTATTTAAATTATTGTGGAATGAGTGCTTTCTATCTGCACAGGCAGATTTGTTTGTTTGTTTTTCGGAATTCTGCCCTTAACCTTCACATTTTTCATGTTCTAGTAGTTGCTGGAGCGAAACAATGAATCAAACAAAGATGACCAAAGATTGAGAGTATTTTCCCTTATCAGTATATGATTTGTTCTTTTCTTGAATACCTTCTGGTCAGAAATGTGAATGTTAAGTTGGCACATTCTAAAAATCCAAGTAATTGACTTGTGCATCTATTCTCACACTCCTATTGGGAGCATGCTGTGTGCTGGAGTTGCTCTATGGAGCGGATACTCCCGCCCAGGGTGACAGGAACTGCCTGCCCTGTGGGTCTCGGCCTCCAAACAGCCAACCCAAGTCTGAACTGCAGAAGCCAAATCGTGGACATGAGGAGGAGGATGGAAGAGACACAGAGTGTACCAATAGACTTTTAGAAGGAGTTTGTTACATCAGCAGTTTAAAAAGCCATGTTCCTACCAAAATGATCTCATTTGACATAGTGGTGGTTAAAAGAGGATAAATATGGCACCCTACAGTGTCGTTTTGTGCAGAATTCTCCTTCCAGGCGCATATTCTCACACAACTGTAACAATCTACAGAATTCTGTTCTAGCTGGATCTTATATTCTGAATATAAAGGAGAACCTCATAAATTGCTTAAACCACAAAAAATAATTATTGTAGCAAAAATGAGAAAAAGCCAAAGTAATTAACCCTGAAAAATGGCCTCTGATCAAACAGTGCCCAATGTAGGCCATTTCTATTCAGTGTTGCATTTCCTTTTTGCCCTTCACTTAATATAGGATTAACTATATATAAACGATCTTCCCCTGTTGAATACTAGCCTGATTCTCTACCCACTATGATTTGATTTTTTTCCTCCATGGTGGTTAGTATGTTTATTTCCACTAGCCAAAATCCATAGATCTCTTGAGCTCCTTATTTAGAAAGAAGAATATAGAGATGTATGAATTTTCCCTATTGACTTCTACAGCTGAGTGTAGAAGCATTTTTTGATGTATAGAGAGATATTCTGGCAGATGGACTCTTAGCTCTACTCACCAAATGGTCTATGAGATTTGGACTTCCCAAGACACATGTTAGATCCTGCCACAGACCCGTCCCTTCAAGGAGATTTTGGCTGAAGCAGAAAAAAAGAAATGGTTGTTCCAGGTAAAGAACTGTGTTTTCATAGGTAATGTTTCTAATGTCCAGGGGAGGCAGGGGTGGTTTTGATCAGAACCCAGAGAAATGAGGGCAGATTTCTCCTTTTCCTTCTGCCTCCATGCAGTCCTTTCTTTGACGGAATGCGTTTCTCTGACATTTCTTACAGAGCCCAGTAGGAGAACAAATTATAGATCAGGCTGTCACATGTAGGCACAACGTTTTTTTTAAAATCAAGCCAAAGGACACTAACCTTTAAATTGCCTCCATATCCACCTGTTGGGGCTAATCCAGATACTTCTTGTGCTACCTGCAACTGAGTCCAAATTTAGTGAGAAATCTAAATTCATGATTTATAAAATCCCTATTCTTATAGAGAATAATGGGAGCAGGGGCTGTCTTCAGAGAGGCAAAACAACTTTGAGTTCCCACACAGTCTAAAAACAATGTGGGACAATAAGGATATTCCACAGTGTTCTTCTCTTTCCGAAGTTTCCTAGCCCCACCTGACTGTCTACCCAACACTAAAGCACTTCCTTCATGGACCCTTTCCCAATACTGAATTGAGAAAGTCAGTGCTACCATTGCCCACCACTGCCCAAATGAGTCCATCATATCCTCAAAGTGGATGTGAAAAAGAATTATTTGTTTGTTAAAATACAATCCAACAGGGCTTCTGGGTGGCTCAGTGCGTTAAAGCCTCTGCCTTCGGCTCGGGTCATGATCCCAGGGTCCTGGGATCGAGCCCCGCATCGGGCTCTCTGCTCCGCTGAAAGCCTGTTTCCCCCTCTCTCTGCCTGCCTCTCTGCCTACTTGTGATCTCTGTCTGTCAAATAAATGAATAAAATCTTAAAAAAAAATACAATCCAACATGTACACAATACATCTACACCACCAAAATCATCTGTATGTTGCTTTAAGTATCTCTGAGGAATCAAATCAGAAGAAAAAATTAGTAATATCAATATTAGGTTTATCAATATCAATATATATCAATATCAATATAATGGTTTAGGGTAATTTGAAGTATGAGCCCTCTCTTGAAACTAGTACTTTTATTGGTTCTAAGATTGGTATAATGTCCTTCATTTTAATTTGGAATTAATATGAGTTTGTAAAACGTTCATGGGCCACAGCTTCAAACCCTCCCCCCTTCCGTCTGGCCACCGTTGCTGCTGTTATGAACACAGCATTCAGTAGAAACAGGCGGCAGGCATAGAATGAGCATCCTGGGTTTGCTGGGTGTGCTGAAGGCTGTCCTCCGGCCCCTGAGAGCACGTGCCAGTGTCAGAGACACTCCCCGTTTCCTTCCTTCCTCCTACCCTCAGCAACAGAGGTAGGATCACGCACATGGTCTATCTTTATCCTGATCACTTCTGCTTGCCAAGCATTCTGTTGTTTGTTTTGGTGTTTTCCCCACCTGTTTAGACAAAGTGGCATATGCACAGTGTGCCTTAAAAGAAAACAAAAAACTGACACTTGCTTGAAATGTTTAAAGTTCAAAGTCTGTTTTGTGCTTGAATAAAGCCTAGAAACAACATGATAACATTTCACCATCCTTGCTGCCGGATATCAGAAATAGCCTGATGGCTCTTGGGATGGTTAGAATTCAAAAGCAGCTTTTTTCAGTAACTTTAATATCATGTCAGATTATACCATATATTCTGAATGAAATGTTATTAGAGACCTGGGTCGGAGATCACAAGGAACCAACTGATATGTGTGTATATATTTAGTAATTCTCTCTTTACCTCTGCATACAGTAGCATAGGGATGTCTCTTTAAGCATTTGAAAACCCAATCAAATTATTTTTATTATAAGTTGTCACTTATTGAATACCTACAAAGAGCCAGGCACTGTAAAGAAGCACCTTGTTTATATTCTTTTTAATTCTTCCAGAAACTTTGTAAAGAAGATATCATCCCATTTAGCAGGTGAAGAAATAGTAGTACGGAGATATTAAATAATTTTCTCTGACTGGCATAACTGTAACTGTTGGAACAGAAGTTTTAATTCATACCTGTCCAACTTCTTATGTTCTTAAAGATCTTATCTTCGTGTCTTATATAGACTGCTGGCCAACTTAAGAATTTTCACTGCTTTGGTTCCAAGTCTTAGACAAAGATTTTTGGAAAATGGTTATAAATTTAATTTTAATTTCATACCTTACGTCAGACACTGATTTCTCCCCTGAATTCCATCATTCTATTTATATTGCATAAGTTTCACAAGTTTATACTCTGAACTTAACTGTTTTAGTACTCAATTACTATTTGGTAAGAATAAGATACTTCAATTTCATTTTTTATTGTTAATACCCTGCTTATTTTAAAAACATATTTCAGATAGCTTTCAGTGCAGAAAAGATACTCCCCAAACGAAACACTCTGAAGCAAAAGAAAAAACATGACTCAGAGGATGAAAACCAGAAGCTAATTACAGCAGAAACCTAAGCTGAGGGATACTTAATTTTTGTACTTCCTGATAGCCAAGTCAAAATGGAAAAGATAGCGGTCATCCCCTCTTGTGTTAATAGAAAACTTGACAAATACAGCAAACAGTGGTGTCTTCTTATATCTATGTTTTGAAAGTTAACAATTTTCACAGTAGAACTTTTAGGCAAAGTTAACTTTATTTCATTACCATCTTTGAATGTTTAATTTTTAATTGTTAAAACATTATTATGCTGTCATTTGTCTGGAAAATATTGGAGACCGGCCTTAAGACTATCTTTTAAATACAAGTACAGTAATTTCCGTGTTTTCCCTTTTGTTCTTCAGGGAACAAATTTCTACCCTTTCCCCCTGGTTGTAGGCAAAACAGGAATGCCAGGTTGTTTCCTGCTTTCCGTAATAGATGTCTTTTCCTTGTTGTAATAAAATCCTCATAATTATCATTTTACTGGTCGCATAATGTGCCATTAAATAAATGCAGCATAATTTCATTAATCATTTCTCTATTGGTAGACCTCTGAATCACTTCTCAGTTTATGATACACATAAGGATTATATAAGAAATAATTATTTCAACTTTCATTTGAATAATAATTTCTATTTATTAAATTATCTTTCACTAACAATCTCCTCTATGTATGAGATAAGCTCCTTGAAGATAGGAATAATATATTTTTCAATTTTCTTTTCCCCAAAATATGGAGGCTTGAAGACAATAAGTGCCTTCTCAATAATTTAATTAATAAATACATCATATATGGCATCGGTACCTCAAAAGTGGCTGAAAGTGATGGTCCTTGATGTTGGCCCTAACTTGGCAAGTACGTAAATAGTATTGGACTTATGTCTACCCTCACAAAAACCCTTTAAGTTAAATGATTAAAATAAGGATCCAGAATGGCGAATGGTGCTTTTAGAAATCAGAATGCTAGAAGTCAGCAGTGGGGCTCCATGTCAGCTGAATGTTATGCTCTCCTGCTCCTATGGCCTCTCCCACCACCCCCTCCTTTGTGTGCTGCCATTTAGAGTTTCAAGCACAGAGAGAAGTGATGTCTATTGACATCTGAATAAAAAATCCATGCAGTAAACGTGTGATCCACCCATCTATGGGCAGAAAGGGACCCTTCCTCTGGTACTATGTGTAATTGTTGAATGCATCTGTGCGCTCACTTAAAGCCCATCTGTACCCTGCTGCCCAAACGTGCTTTCTCCCTGTCAAGTCAGGTGCTCAGAGCAGCCGGCTGGGGCGCGGGATATACAAGAGCGCCTCTTTTAAACATTAAGAGTGATTTTTCCCCCCAATCAGCTCGTGATTACTCAAGATGTAGAATCATAACAACTCCGAGAATCTCTAATTTTTTTGTTTACTATTTAGAATTCTTTTCGGCAAGAACTAAAACATATATTAGTGTTGTCTTGGAATCGTTGATATTTTTTTCAGGGAGATCGAATCTGCACTATTTATGGGTTTTGCACTATAAAACTCTGCAGCCCAGTCACATGGCTTCTTTTTCCTAAGCCATCTGTCACAGAGGTCTGGAATTTTATGTGAATGTTGGTTGTGCAGTCTTAACCCAAGTTTTTTATTTTTTTTAATGAAAAATGTCAGCAACTACAATATTGAGCATTTTACTTTACATTGGCCATTAAACTTCATTACTATAGCTCTGTTTCATTGCTATAGTTACATATCAGCTATGAAGCCAAGAATTATTTTGATGTGCTCATGACAGAATACATTGTTATACCACGGAGAGAGCACATGGCACTGATATGGTTAATATCTTGGATTTTTGTAACTAAGGTTTATTAATGTTGGTATAAAAACGTATTTGATATTATACAGATGGCATAAGATGTTGTGGTTACTAAGTTATTATCCCGGATAAGCTGTACTGTCAAATTCAGGGCTTAAAACTATCACAGGAGATTAAACTATTTACTAAAAGGGACAGAAAGATATAGCCAAAGCATCTTAGTGCAAACATATTAGAAGTATATTTACCTCCCACAAATATAATAAAGCATACCTACCTCAGAGGCTGAGATTTAAAATAGGAACTTTACAGGTGAAACAAGCAAACAGAAGAGGTGCCTTGTTTTCTAAATCAGGTACAAGCAGTGAGCTTTTGGAGCTCAGCTACATTGGCCCACACCTCAGTCCTCAGCGACAACTGTTGGGGAGAGGGAAGGCAGAGTGTAAATGGGGAGTTAAAATAAATTCCCCGTGGGGAAGTAACTGGCTACCATATGCGTTAGGGATCTTGCTAACGTATTCAAAGAGACTCCTGCTTTGCCAGCCAAAAGGAAAAAGAGCAGAGATGTTGTCCAAGATTTAATTGTGACTTGATGGATGACAGCGAAAATACGGAGAGGTATTTATCTGACCCATTTAAGAAAAAGACAAGCGAGCTCTTCCCGCGTTCTGAGTCCTATTGCGTGGCAGTGCTCACCATTGGTGACAGCACAGGAGCCATCCTTTGGCGTGTATCCTTTGGAAAATCCAGAGCACGTGGGCAGTTGTTGGGTTTTGTACCTTAAACTACTACAACAGCAACAACAGCAACAAAAGACAGCCAAAGCTATCCCAAGGAGAAATGCCGTGAGGTATAGTGAGTTTTAAGTATCATACAAAGTGTCTGGAAAAGAATCAACTTTGTTCTGAAGTTTCACTGTACAACTTACCCCCAAATAGGCCTGTTGGCACCTGCTCCTGAAGGCCCCCAGAATCAACAACAGTTTGCCCTGTCTGCCTCTGCCGCACCAGCCCCCCTTCAAGTAAACAAAGCTTTTCTGATTCAAGTAACCCAGAGGAAAAGGTCACATCCGTATTACTCTAATATCCCAATAACAAATTCTCTTGCAGCTGGTTATTTTTGCATATATTCACATTAAATTAATACTGTATTGGGGGGGGTGAGCTGGGAAGTAGTGCTGTGCCTTTTTATAAACTCAAGTGTTAATGCTATAAATGATGAATTGAGAGTGATAATTCTGCAAGCCAGAAAAGGAGATTTAAAGCTAAACTTCAAAAAAATATATAAAACAGGGTTAGCCAATACATTTAGCATTTGGAACATCTTATTTATATTAGGCTTTACTTTGTTTAACCCAGAAACATGAAGCTCACTAATGGTGCTGCTTTTAAAAGTCTGCCTAAGAATTGAACATTAACCAAAGCAAATCAGAAAGCTAGATTTTAAATCAGATATACTTACATAAAAGCTTGCATTTAAAATTATCCCTTAAAAGCCCCACATGGCTAGGCTATAACTGCAAACTGTTTAAATGTTTTTCTGTTTCCTATTGTATACCAGGGAGCCGAGATAGAAGTGGATGAAAATGGCACATTGGACTTAAGCCTGAAAAAAAATCGAATCCTGGACAAAGCTGCACCCTTAACTTCCTCTAACACTTCTATTCCAACTCCTTCCTCTTCCCCATTCAAAACAAGCAGCATTTTGGTCAATGCAGCATTCTATCAGGCTGTCTGTGATCAAGAGGGCTGGGATACTCCTATCAACTATAGCAAAACTCATGGGAAGACAGAGGAGGAGAAAGAGGTATTGTTTCAATATGTCAATCACTAAGTTTAAGAGAGAGCATGATTAGAGAGTATTCTCGGCTTTTTCCTCCTGCATTATTTTTCATATTCCTGTTTAGATAATACACAATTCTGTACCATGTTTTAGATTTTGGTAAAGTGGTGATCTTCAATTTCATCAGAAACTGATAAATGAATCCAGCTTTTCCTGTCACTTGCCTAAAATGATGTCACTGTAGTGAATTTGATCCCCATTAGGGCTGCAGTTGTGTGCACTGCATGAGAGATTATATTAGCCACCCCTTCAGATATGGCAGCCTGGAAGGTGCAACGTATCCCTCAACACTGAAATGCCAACTTGTTAACTCTTTCTGAACCAGAGGATAGAAAATGAAATAGAATCAGGGATGAGTAAGAATCATGTCAAATTGTTTTCCTTGGTTTCGTGAAGGAACTATGTAAGCATATCTACATATAGAGCCTTTGGCTGAGGTATTTGAGTCATGTCTAAGTTGTATCAATCCCAAAGTCAAGGAGATGCATTTGTGTATTTGGTTATCTTTGGAGTAGCTAGATGTTGTGGCTGTGCACGTCCATCAAGCCTTTATCTCCATAGTTTGAGCCACCTGGCCTAGACTGATTAGCCATGACTTAGTGTCATCCAAAAGGATTCATGGCCAGAAACCTCCACTATTTAGATTCTATGTCTTTGCAAATGTGACCCTAATTGTGACAGTAGTGATTCATTTTGCTTTGCTGTTTGTCAGGAAAGTTGTTGATATTTGCTGGTTGATATGTTTAAAGAAATAAAACAGCCACTGTCTTTGGAAGGGTGCACCACTTTTTTCATCTCTTTGAAGTTCAGAAATTTTGGGCGGGGGGAAACTAATTTGATTTTAGCATATGCTTTAACATCTCAGAGCATAAGTTGACAGAAACAATAGTGATCACAAGATTGGGTTGTTTCTCCAATTCCCCTTCCTTCCTTCCTTCCTTCCTTCTTTCCTTTCTTTTTTCCTTCCTCCCTTCCTCCCTCCTTTCCTTCCTTCTTTCCTTCCTTCTTTGCTCCCTTCTTCCTTCTTTCTCTCCTTCCTTTATCCTTTCTTTCCCTCCCTCTCTCCCTTCCCTTTTCCTTTCCTTTCCTCCTTCCTTCCTTCACTCCCTCCCTCCTTCCTTGCTTCCTTCAGAACACTTTTGCTGGCATCTCCATGTCCAGGCAGTAACATAGGTCCCAAGGTTGCAGCATCAAATGGGACAAACTTCCCACACAAGTATGCTCAGTCTGGTGGGGACACTGGCAGGTGAACAAATACAGTGACAAATGGAATAGCACTAGCAGGCACACAATGATGGGGCGGGGGGAGGAATGCCAACCCTATGTACAGTGGTCAGGGATGGGTTCCTGGAGGATCCCCCAGGATCTGAGGCAGGCTCTGTGTTACCACCAGCCACACCATCACAAAGAAGTGGGAGGGGAATCCATACAACAGCACTTTCTGACTAGATTCTGCCATACAGTCTTACTCATTTTATTCTGCTTGGCTTTACAAAATCTGCTTCAAGTATTTAGGGATGGTCTTCGTTAACCTATCATAATGCTATTTTAGAAGAACAATTTCTAGAAATAATGTATGTTTGACTCTGATTATTATAAAACTAATACCTGCAAAGTATTAGTAGCTGGTTTACCTTAGGTGATGACCACAGATGGGCAAACACGTACTTCTTCCCTCCACCACATTCCCCCCTGCCATTTTGGACTTGTGCAAAAGTAACAGAAGTTATGCTTAACTGCTGTTTATTTTTATGATCTGGAGATCTGTCAGTATTCACATGAACTGATCATTTTGCAAAACTGGTCTGAAATGGAGGTAAGGAAGCAGTGTAAGTTGTTGAGAAGCACAATCACGATGAGATCAAGATTGTTGATCCAATCCCACTCTGTAGAAGCCAGGTTTAGAGAAAGGGAATACCCTCTCATTCATAAAACTGCTTCATCCTCAGCTAGTCCAATAGTCAATGCGATCATGGCATATCCCAGCATATCCCACTCTACACCACCAAAAGGAAACCTAATCCTAGTTAGAAGATCTGTTGATGTGGGTTCAGTAGAAGTCTCTTGTCACATGAAGGACTGTATTTACAAAGTAAGCATAACTGTGCTCCTATTCTCAGATGAATCCCACTAGGATAAAACCCACCTTGTTTGGGAGATCTCAGTGTCATGTGCTTAGACTTAGACTTTCTGTCCCCACCCTATGACTGCCATAAATGGACCATGGTCAAAAATCACCAGAAATCTTCTTTCCAATGTCAGGCATACTGATTCAGTCCTGAATGGTAATGAAGCAAATTTGTGTTAAGTGGGTTCTTGTTTTCATTTAAGGTCTCTTATGTTGTTTTATCTTGGTTATAATTTTTGGCCTCACAAGAATGACAAAAATGTACTCATATTCTGAGACCCTCCTCCCATTTGGAGGTCTAGTAAGTACCTCAAGAACTTCCTTAGCTATACCTCTTACCACTCAGATAGCCAGAAAATGACGTCCCATAACAAATAGCTTCTTTATTTCCAATCTCATTTTTTTGTGTGTGTGTAATTCCAAAAAACATCTGGATTCATCTTAGCAGCTTCATAAATTCAACTGGAGTATGTTCTTATTCTAATGCTTATATATCTGTGACAGTGTTTTATTTCCCAGCAAATTCCTGGGAAAAACGGATTTGGTTAGATTAGATTTCTGCTCTTTTCAGAATGGCTTACTTACTTCAGGTCTGACAGTACAGACTTTTCCTGCTACAGTTTGCAACCTAAACATTCTGAAATCTGGAATGGAGAATGTGGAGATTCGATGTCACTAAGAATGACAAAAGAGGACTTTGAAGATGCTAAGTGAGTTCCTAGAGTCAAGGTGCTTGCCCTAGGTTTGAGTTGACAAATTGTTTTGTTGTTGTTGTTTTGTTTTTATTTGTTTTTGGAGAGAGTATGCCTGTTCCAGATTTGGGGGAGGGGCAGAAGGAAAGGGAAAGAGAGAATCTTAAGCAGGCTCCATTCCCAGCATAGAGCCCCATGCAGGGCTTAATCTCAGTACCTTGAGATCACAACCTGAACCTAGATCAAGAGTCCCACGAACTGAGCCATTCAGGCATCCTGACCAAATATTTTTTAAGCTTAATTTTTGTTATCACAGTGATCTGACCATGAATGACTCATTGCTTGGGGAAACTCTACCTTATGGGGACACCCTCACACAAAAAGTGCTTCTGCAGCACTGTACCTCCCTAAGATAGCGCCTCACCCTTCCTTCTTTGTGCCTTTGTGCCTTCCTTCTTTGTGTCTGTGGTGAGCTAATCTATAAATAGACAGTATTTATCACCCTGTTCTGACTCTTATAAATGAAAACTGTGATACTTGATAGTTACTATTTTGAAAAAATAGATTGTATTCAACGTCCTTGTTGTGAAGGTAGCAGAGGGACACTGAGTTCAGTAAGAATAAAGATAAGGGATCTTTACACACAGTGTCTCATTATCCTAACAGTCATGAAAAGCGGGATTATTGTCAAAGTTTTGGAGGAGAAAATTGAGGCTCAAGGAGGTTGTTAGTCTTTGGTCCTATAGAAATCAAGAAATGGGCTTGGGCGGAAGCCCAAATGAAGAACGAGGAGAAGGGAGAGAATGGAGAGAAGGAAAAGATCAAACAGCCCATCAAAAAGTGGCAACAACAAGGGAATATTGAGGACAATTAGAAAGAGAAGGGAAGAAGAGAAGGAAGAAGAAATGGTGTTTGGTGAGGTGTGGGGGACCCAACAATGCTCCCAGGGAAGCAGGACCAAACCTCCCTTGACCGTAATCTGTAGGACATAACCACACAAACTAATCACAGGAAGTGGCCCGTGCCTGTTTTTTCCAATGAGCCCACTTGGAGGCTGCACTTGGCCCAAGCAATATACCATGAATATTTGAAGACTGGGTGGTAGTCAGCTCCTGATCTGACACTCTGTCCTTCCCACTGGCACCTCCACCCTTACCCCACACGATACTCATACACGTACACACACACACACACACACAACCAGAAATGGAACGATTATTTCTAATTCATTGTTATCTAGTTCATATGCACAACAGTTGCTTAATTTTGGTGGTAATTTTCAGAAAATATTGTCTGTCTCTCTCAGTGAAATAGCCTGTCCAGATGCCCTCTAAAAAAAAAAAAATCCTGAATCTGGAAAAAGCTCAAAAAATCTCGAAAGGAAAGTGCTGAGAAATAACTAGGGCTGTCAGTTCCATTCAACTGTCAGTTCTCCAAAGATTTCAGGGCTTAAAATGTTAAAAGTGCCAGATGCTATTATCTGTTATTCATGTTACCATTATGTTCTGGTCTTTACTGAAATCAATATAAACTTCCATCTGTACATTAAAAGAATTTCATTGCATCCGTATACTTTCCAAACACAACGTATATATGCCAAATTCTCTCTTACATAGCCACAAGATAAAATTATTATTTTTTAAATTATATTTTTAAATTTGAAAAAATTCTTCCAAATGACATTGGCTTATTTTTTACTGGGTGTTATTTAAAAATTTATCTAATGTACAGTGATAGTGTAACAAAATAAAAATTCTTCCAGTGATGGTCACCTGTATTTTAGTACATATGCTCTCTGCAGGTTTCTTGGGGTAGGATGCTCAGCAAAGAAAAGGGAAAAAGATAATTATTTCATAATGTAATTGCATTAATATGAGTCCATAGTTTTTATAAGAACCCACAAAATATTTAAAAGCTCATATCCAGTGAAATTACCCTTTTAAAACATTACCACATGTTACTACGCCAAATTAAATACCATATATTTTGTAAGCATTATTTTTATATATGTTTTAGTTACAACAATAACTTAAATTTTTGTAATTATTGATTTCTTTCAACATCCCTTATTCCCTTATCTTCCATTATGTATAGATTTAGCAGTCAAATGATAGCTGATAAACTTCATATGTTCATCCATAAATGTACATGTCTTTAAGAATAGTTTGTTCTTAATTTTATCATAAAGAAAATAATAAAAGGCTCTTTTTCACTGTATGGTATTTAAAAAAAAAATCAGCATCCTAAACAGAAAAACAAAGGCTGTTCCACACTGAGACAATATTGGATTTAGTATTTGTATCTACTTTGAAAAAGCCAAGACATTTATAAATTGTAGTGGAAAACACTACTTGGGTGAAATCCAGATAACACCAAATGGAATAGATAGTGGCATTATCAGGTTTAAGGTCTTCTAATTAGGAATTGCTTCATGTTAGGTATTTATACTATAAAACTTGAAAAGGAGAAGGACCATCCATTTTGCTATAGATTCCGTGGAAGTAGCATCAAAGTGGCACTCCCCTTTGTACCTTAAAGGGTCACTATAATCAAGCACCCATGTCTCCTTATTTTCAAGTGGTATACTATTATCTCCTAATATTTTCAAACATACACCAATTTTTTTAAAAAAACTTAGAATATAAATAATTATGAAGAAAGAAATTGTACCAAACCAGGCTTTATTAATTTGGCCTCAAGAGTCACTTGAGATAGTTTACCAATGTATTTACCACTGAATGGTTTTGTGGAAAAGGACTGAATTGCTACCCAAGTAATTAGTGAAAAAAATTACACTTGCCTTTATGACTGAGATCAAGGTGCAGAATTTTTCCTTGATGCGGAAAACCCAGATATTTTGCTTTTCCATTGATTTTGAGTGCAGACTCAGGATTATTAAAATTGTATTTTGCCATCACATTTTTATATCCATTTAATTTAAATGAAACTTACCTTGAATAATTCAGAATAGTTTTCTCATTTTAAAGAGATCAGTACTTTTGAGAATCAGAAATTCTCTGTTAGTTAATCTGATTTTAATATTAAATGCAGGAAGTATTATATAGTTACTGGATATAAGTTTAAGATGTAAGTAAGCTAATTATATAACTGAGGAAAACCATCATCAGTCTTCTGTAAGATATCAGATGGTAAATAAGTTTTTTGAAAGTGTTACTAAATTTTCCTTACAAAAATCAAGATCAGTATTAAGCTTAAAAGAAGACCACAAAAATTAGTGATAATCCAGCAAAACATTCCATCCAATGACTAAAGCGTTATAAGATATCAACTTAGCAAAAGAGGTAACTTAAGAAAAATAGGAAGTAATGTGATAATAAAAGCAATTATCCAAAAAAATTCAATGGCTAAATATTGTGGGCAACTTATTACATATTTAACCAATTTAAATCTTAATTATTTGTATATTAAGAGGGATATTTTGTTAACCTAAATTGACATTCTTTTTTGTTTAAAATTTGTGGTTTATTTTTGCAAAATTTCTTTAGTTTTACCAATAATTGTTCTGTGTATAAAGAACTATTCCCATTTTATCTAGGAAACATTCATTATACAATAAAATCTGAAACATATTAGTTATATAGCTCAAGAAATGCCTCTGTAGTTGTATTTGCCAAAACGTGAACTTGTAAAGGTATCCCCCATGAATTGTAATTTTTTATTCTTCATCAAGGACAGAGGTCCATAATAATCAGGATATATCTTTATACTTATTACCTTCTTCATTTTGTGTACAAATCCTATGAAGAATTGCAGCTAAGTTGTTAAGTTAAAACTCAAATTCCACCCTGATGACTTTAAATACAGTTGTCTATGCAGGGTGCCCTAATGCCTTGTGTTCTTCTGTATTTTTTTTTCTTCCAGAAAGACCCAGTGAGCTCTCTAGAAAATTTAGAGGAAAAAAAGTTTCCTGGAGAGGCCTCCATTCCAAGCCCTAAACCCAAGCTCCATGCAAGAGATCTCAAAAAAGAACTAATCACGTAAGCGATCTTCAGTGGTGTGTTCTGTGAGATTCTAGAATTAGAGGACTCAGGCTCAAAATTTTGAGTAATAATATCCTGGTTTATATAGTTGACTTTAGGAATGTTTTAGGGTAATTTAGCCAGTCAATAGTTAAATGTTCAACACATACCTATTTATGCTTAGAGCTAAGAGGATTATGGAAAAGATGTATACATGACATGATTTCATGCTGAGATGATTGAAAAAACAAAAACAGCGTAAAACAATTTGAAATGTTTGTGTTTTGTTTTGTTTTGATTTGTTTGGCTGATCAGAACCTTTTGTTGTGCTCTGCGCCACTTGAGTCAGGCTGAACTCTGCATCTCCATAGTACCATTTACTAGTCTCATGGCCTTAGTTTTTTTTTGTTTTTTTTTGTTTTTGTTTTTTTATCTATTTACTTGACAGACAGAAATCACAAGTAGGCAGAGAGGCAGGCAGAGAGAGAGGAGGAAGCAGTCTCCCCGCTGAGCAGAGAGTCCGATGCCGGGCTCGATCCCAGGACCCTGGGACCACGACCTGAGCCGAAGGCAGAGGCCTTAACCCACTGAGCCACCCAGGTGCCCCGTCTTAGACAGTTTTTAAACTCATTTGAACTCATTGAAACTCCAGTTTCTTAAAGCAGGGCTATCAACAATCATCTCATGAAATTGTGAAAATCTTGGGAAACAACATGTAAGAATATACAAAATGCCAAGTGGATAGTGTGTTTTTGTTGTACGATAATTATTATAGCTTGTGGCATGAGACCCCTAAGATGTAGAATCCTAAGCAGAATTACTGCATTTTGCTCACTAAAGGCATAAACTTTTTTTTAATGGGGAAGTACATTAATTCATGTCTCTACTGAAAATTTTTTGAGAAATTAATCACATTTAATTAGGATTTAAATAATTATTACATTGAAATTTTTAAAAATAAGACACGTGTTTGAGGTACAGGCGGCAGCCTTTTTCTTTTTGATTCTGCAATAAATATAAAGTCCCTAAAGTGTGTCAGCAAGTTAATGTTTCTTTCCTTAACATAATTATAGTATCATTAGCATATGGATGATACAAAAACTACTACCCGTAGGTCTAACCTCTCTCACAGCCTCATAGATTCTCCTTGAAAGCAGAAGCCAGCTTTTTCTTTTTGGAGTGGAATTTTTCCATTTAATTTTGTGATTCTGTTAAAAATCATTTAACATTTCTCACATTGATGAGTTCAGTGATATTATAAAGTCAGTTGTGATGATGGAGTGAAGGATCCAGAATCCATTCTTGAGGAGTCACACCTTTTTAGGACTAGTTGGGTCTAGCTATTCCTTCTGTGGCAGTGGAACAATTGTTAATTTATTCAGTAACTATTTTTTGCATGCCTGCTATGTTGTAGGCATATGTCAGATTTGAAGTGAACTCTGCCCTTCCAGAAAGTGCTTTTTGAAGAAAATGAACAGGATGTAGGGATAGAGAATGTTGCTTCTGGGTCAGGTGTATGAGTTGAAGAAATGTTTATGTTTTGATCAGAAGGTCATAATCTGACACCTACTGACTCCAGAAGATCCAAGTCAGTGTTTCAGGGCATCTATGAACCTCATAACACTTAATGCAAATGATTATTTGGGTAAGGGAGTTTATGGTTTTCATCACCTTCTCAAAGGATTCTGTGACTCAGAGAGTTTAAAGACTAGGGCACCTGATGTCAGTAAGTATTAATTGAGACGGCAGCAGGGAGCAGGAACAAACCTTCAGAGATCTGAGCTCTGAGCCCTGAGCTGAGCTCTGAGTACCAGCCGGACCTGGACAGACAGAGAGTGCAGGCATGGACTTAAGCAGGATGGGGTGCTGTGAAGAGTGCCGGGCTGCAGGTTTGCATGAGCAAGCCACGAGAGTTTAAATGGGGAAGTGAATTAGTGGCGTAGTGCTTTAGGAAGAACGGTATGCAAAATTATTCTGAAGCTGGAAGGTCATCTAAAACACTGATGTGAAAAGAAATAAAATAAAACCCTGATATAGAGATTCAGACATGAGATCATGAGGCTAGAGAAGGTATAGAAAGGGATAGAGTGGAGGACAAGGGGAGATGGAGAGGAGAAGAGCGTTGAGGGAAATTGGAAGGGGAGGTGAACCATGAGAGACTATGGACACTGAAAAACAACCTGAGGGTTTTGAAGGAGGTGGGGGGAGGTTGGGGGAACCAGGTGGTGGGTATTAGGGAGGGCACAGATTGCATGGAACACTGGGTGTGGTGCAAAAACAATGAATACTGTTACGCTGAAAAGAAATAAAAAATTTAAAAAAAAAGAATTAAGTAGAAAGTGAACAGGTTGGGCTCACTTGAAGGGATTTAGTAAGTCAAGTAGTGAAAGGCTCTTTTAAAATAAAAAAAAAAAAGAAAGGGATAGAGTGTTCTTGAAGCCTTGCGGACACACACGCTGCTGGCCCCTGAGAGGGCAGAAAAGAAGCCACAAAGAACACAGAAATGAGGCCCTTTACAAACACAAGAGGACGACTAAGGGAAATGATTGCCATGGAAACAAAAAGCTAAAACAATTCCCAAACTGGGCATTTAGTATTATTGATTTGCCCTGTAAGTTCAAAGAAGTTAAGAAAATGTGGATAAATCTTTGGGAAATGGTTCTTACAAAGTAATGGAGGCAGGGAAGGGGGCATGAGATGGGGAAATTCAGAGAAATGTGTGTGCTGGGACAGCACAGGTGTTGCCACCAAATTATTGCAGGGATAGGAACAAAGATTGTACACTGAGCCCAGCTCCCATGCCCCCCCCCTTTTTTTTAACCTTGAAGAACTGTGATTGTGGGTGATTAGGATTTAGAGTGTGATTCACACAAATTCCTCGAGGATATAACTTGGCCTGGGCATTGTTTGGACGGCAGGCACTCCTAAGTTTTTTCTCTACTTTACCGGGCAGGGGAGTAGAGATCCCAGAATAGATGGTAAATGAGGAGAAGAGGTGGGAAGTGTTTCAAGCAAACACAAGGCAGGGTCTGTTGTTTTTTCTAACTTACATCCTTAGCAGGCAGTATAGTCCTGGCTGGGTTATATATCACATGAGGGAGTGAGGGAGTGAGTGACATGCAGGAAAATAATTTTTGTGTGTAAATGGTGAAATATTAAAGTGTATTCATACACAAAGATATTCAAAGCTGCCAATTAATGAGAGTTTCTAGCAAAAAGTAATCTTTCCACTTAGTCACCAACATCTCTATGATCTCTTCTGAATCTCTTCTGATTCTGAATCATTTTCTTCTGAATCAGTATGAAAGTATGTTTCAATTTTTCTAATAAAAAAGTTAAAAACCATCTCTTGACTTGGCTTTCACCTTGATCCCCTGTCTCTTCTTTCTTTTATGGCTATCTTCCTCAAGAAAGTGTGACTCTGTTTCTCTCCTAAATTTCTCCCAGATAGGCTTGTGTTCTCATCATTCCATCAAAACCATCCTTAAGTCCTGCAGGGAACCCATCTGTATGTGGTTTCTTATTCCTCCTGACCTGCTTGATGTGGCTGCAGGATTTGACAGAGCTGATCACTTCCTCCTCTATCTTCTTCACCTGGCTTCTAGGGTACCACACCTTGGAACAGTTTCCCACCTTACCTGTTACTCCTGATTAGACTCCTGTGAAGACTTCCAAAGATGGAATGTCTCAGAGTTCAGTCCCAGAACCCCTTCTCTCCTCTGTCTACACTCAGTTCTCTAGGTTCTTGGTGTTAGAACTATCTCCACTCTGAGGACTTCCAGGCTTGCATTACCTCCGGACCCATTTCCAATGGCCCATGGGGAATGAGCTCTCCCCTCCCCAGAGGACCCTGCCCCTCCCTCTCTACCAGCCACCTCTTCTCCTGCTTTTCCATAAGGCTTCAGGGCCTCATTGTTGCTATTCCCTCTGCCACAGATGTTTGCAGGGTGCCATAGGTCCTCACCCTCCCTCAGCTCATACCTCAAATGTCACTTACCTGAGGGATCTTTCTGGCACTATGGCCACCCACCCCCAGCCCTGATGTTCCTACTCCCTTTATCTGGAACTCCTGTTGTCCTTCAGTATTTATCACCTTCTAATGCACTCATACATTTTGCTCGCCTGCGTTCTCTCTTGTCTGCCTCCCCAACTAGAGCAGAGGGCCCCAGAGGGCAAGGGTATTCTTCTTTGACTGCTTTTGTTCTCTCCTACATCCACATCATTGCTACGTAATATTTACTGCAGTACCTCTTCCCCCTCCAACTCCACAAACAGTGAGTTGGGAGCAGGAGATACATCTCAAATGCTGTTACAGGCCTTACACATAGAAAGTATTCAATGAAATTATTCCCAGTGCAACACTGTTATATTGTGTGGATATGTGACTGATTTTTAAATGATCTTAGACTGCATTCTTTCTGGATTTCACAGGCAAACATTACTGGCTCAAATATCATCTTTTCTTATTATGAGTTTAATGTTCACTTAGAGCTTGGTGGCTGGAGCAATGTGGTGATGTAGTACCAAACACACTAGAGCTTCTGTGTCACTGAACATTTTCCTTCCCACAGGTGACTTGGGGTCAGCCACGTACTTACTCCCTTGTGGAGCTATCATTCAAGTTTTTAAAATCTTTTATGGATTTTGTTTCTTCATATTACTTTGAATATCTTGAAAAATGGCAAATTTTCATCCTTTGAAGGTAGATTTTTGAAAATTGTGAGAGTCATTCCAAACTAAATGTAGTGTAAAAGATTGATAATTAACCTGCATTACCAATGTAAACAGAAAAATGAAGTGAGATTATTTTGTAATGTGCACTTCTCACTGGGACAAAGCAAATACAAAAGAGGAAGGGTTCTAAAAACATTGTGAACAGTTTTTGAAGTAAAATCTAATTATGAATTCTTAGGAAATTATAGAGACCTCATGATTCTCTTCTCATTTTCATCCCCAGACAGATGAACATATCAGTAGATATTCTGATCTTTATGGACCTGTGCTATACACTGGTTTTGTAAAAGTCTTACTATAGTTTCATCCTTTTTCAAAGATTATGCTTTGCCTTATATTTCTAACAGATAAATGTACTTTAATTGATTACAAAATGGGATTTTTTAATGTCAATTATTAAAATAAATTTTCTTAGAGTTTGAGGGCCACTTACTGAAGGAACTAGCTCGTTTCCTTTCTCTAAGTGTTAATGCTTTTTTTTTTTTAAGATTTTTAAAATCTTATTTGAGAGAGAGAGCATGAGCAGAAGGGAAAGTGGAGAGGGGGAAGCAGACTTCCCCCTGAGCAGGGAGCCTGCTGCAAGGCTTAATCCCAGGGCCCTGAGATCCCAGGACCCTGAGATCATCACCTAAGCTGAAGGCAGACGCTTAACCTACAAAGCCACCCAGGCACCCCTCTAAGTGTTAATACTTTCACTTGAAAACTTGCCCAGAATGTTTCACTCAACTGGTATGGGCACATGTTATTGGATAAGATTTTTCACTGACAATTTGTAATTTAAGCCAGCTATCAGAATCTGAAACAAAAGCTTTTCCCACAACAATGCCATCTCCAGTCCTTTTGCTACTCCTAGACCTTTTTATACCACCAAACTTAAAAAAAAATTAGCAGCAGATCAAATGCGTACTTTATTATCTTACTCCCTAATTAATTTATAGCTGACTGGTTTAAAACTCATTGGCAATTTTTGCCTCTCCTGGCAGTATTAACAGAAGTAATTAAAAAATAGAAATAAAATTTAAAAAGAAAATAAATGCAGTGCTGTTCTTGCACACTAGATGGCCATGTATTTCTAAAGTGGGGATCCCCTGACAATTACAACATATCTCTTACACTTTGAATATTCCAGTTGTACAGTGTTCAGAAAAGAGTATTTCTCCATTTGGTGGGTGAATGGCACTTGTGAGATAACTGAGTTCAAATGTTAATAATTTTTCTTTTTTTTTTTTTTTCCTTTACTTGTTTACATGTTTGTATAGCTTCCACATTTTCCTTTCTGATATCCCATCTAGGGAATGTGGTACGGGAAGAGTTAGACAATTCAGCTTGGACTGAGCCCTTAAAATCAAACATCTCGGGGCACCTGGGTGGCTCAGTGGGTTAAAGCCTCTGCCTTCAGCTCAGGTCATGATCTCAGGGTCCCGGGATTGAGCCCCGCATTGGGCTCTCTGCTCAGTGGGGAGCCTGCTTCCCTCTCTCTCTCTCTCTCTCTGCCTGCCTCTCTGCCTACTTGTGATCTCTGTCAAATAAATAAATAAAATCTTTAAAAAAAAAAATCAAGCATCTCTCTGAGAGATGGAAATGTTCTAACTCTTATAGTTTCTTTAGGTTACCTGAAGATGACTAGAAAGTAGCTCATAGGGAAAACAAAAAACAAAACACAAAAAACTAAGAATGTGACATTTCAGAAAATCTTGAATGTTGGCAATCTCTCCCTAAATGTCCCTTCAAAGGGGGTAAACTTTGTATTCTACACATATGGATAAGCGTTCACTTTAGGCAGCATGTCAGAGAAAACCAGAAGCCTGAATGACGTAACTGATTTTTCCTCTGATTAACACTGCCACAAATAGCACTGAGTGGGCTGGGGTCAATCTGCTTACTCCAAATGAGTGACTTTCGAGCATCAGAGGAAAATAAATGACTGAGAAACCAACAAATCTATTAACTACGGAAGCAAATCCTCTTACATTATTTTTAAAACACACATAAGATACACAGAATGTGACCAGCTTCTGAGATACAATGAAGTACACCAATACAGACTCTGGTCTTTAGTAGATGGCTGGGAGAGCCAACTGCTTTGGTGGTTAACTAGCAATTATATGTGATGGTTTCAAGCTTTGGATAAAACTGATCCCAAGGTTTAATAACTAAAATTCTTATCGGTTTCTTTATTGTCAGCCCCTTTTCCACCTAAAATGTCAATTTACCTTCCAGTATATGTAGTATCTTCAAAGATATTCTTTTTCAGGCAGTTTCTATAATGTATATGAAGTTGCTATGATGACCTTCTCTTAAGAACTCAAAAAATCCTTGGGGCACCTGAGTGGCTCAGTTGGTTAAGCAGCCCACTCTTCGTCTCAGCCCAGGTCTTGATCTCAGGATTGTGAGTTCAAGCCCCACATTGGGCTCCATGCTGGGCTTTGGGCTCCGCACCAGGCATGGAGTCTACTTAAAAAAAAAAACAAAAACAAAGACAAGAAAACCTCAGACTCATAAAAATTCTTTTCTGAAATCTGTTATATAATTGGTGCCAGTATTCCTAAGAGACACTCTCTTTATAAAACGTGAATTTATAACATTTATACTTTCAAAGAAATAAAAACATCTTTGGTTGTTGATTCACTACATCACTAGGGCATTTATTTCGGCATCGCTTTTCTATGTGATTTGAGTCAGAGAATTAATGTGATGTTGAAAACTAATACCTTCAGATCATGCCAGTATTCTTCTAGCTAGTCTTCTGGTTCCTAGATAACATAAATCCTTAGTTCACTAGCTCCTGTGTGTCCTGCATGGTGCTAACTGATCTTGAAAAGAGAACCTACCTCATAATCTATAGACAGAGCAAATGAATCTATGAAAAGCACTTGACTTTAAGACTATATTTTTTTATTGACTCAGCTGTCCGACACCAGGATGTGATGGAAGTGGCCATGTCACAGGAAATTATGCTTCCCATCGCAGGTACCTTACAACCTACAACATCTTATTCTAATGTGAATACTTATTCTCACCCATTCTAGGAAGATATTACCTGGATCCAGAATTGAAGAGTGATTTAGTTGGGGTTTGGGGTTTGTTTGTTTGTTTTTGTTTTGTTTTCTTTTTTGTTTTTTTTTCCCCAGAAGTAAAGCTAAATTAAATCTTTTGGCTTTTTATTTATATGGTATAGAAATCATGATTTTTGGTTGAAGATAGTTTTCTGATTTTATTGTGTAGATTATAAACCAAAAGCTAGAGTTTATGTCAGGACTTTGGCTCTGTCTAGTTTTAGGACCCAAGTGAAACCAAGGTGAGATAGTAGAGTGACTTGGGTTGACCATTCACCTTGTGGAATGTGGCAGACTCAGCCCTGGGCAAATACCAGGTCACAAACAGTGCAAAAAAAGCTGCATTTAATCTTTCCACTTACCTTCTTCATTGATGTTATTTGCCTTCCCTTTGGGCACCGGTTTAGACCTTTAAGCCACCACCCCTTAGTGTGCAATGGAAGTGAACTCCGAATCAGTAATTATTGCATCACAGAATTCTAGAGTTGGGGAGTCTCATTGGGTTAAAGCCCTTCATTTGATAAAATAGCAAACCTGAGTCTATGAGAAATAATTGAGGTGTCCATAAGCCCAGACTGGTTAGAGTAGCCAAGCCAGATTCTAACCTAGTTATATTTTTCCCAATCCCCGGTCACCAGTAAATTTAGCGTATGTTCACAAACTCATGATGCCATTTGAGTCTGATATGTATATGTCAAGGTTGTCTATTTTGTTTTTGTTTTTGTTTTTTCTCATCCCTTTTTAGTGTTTCTGGATGTCCTTTAGCAGATAAGACTCTTAAATCCCTCATGGCTGCTAACTCTCAGGAGCTTAAGTAAGTATCCGAATCATGACCTCCTAGTTCTTCATCACTGTGTTAGGACTCCCCTCATTCAAGCCCGGTGTGGGTTTTCACTAACCAGTAGTTAAGTCATGACCGCGTCAATTATAACCAATGCATTCTTTCACCACAAAGTCCAAATGACTAAAAACAACTCATCGTAATTTTATTTAGTTCATTTGCTTGCTTTGCGGATCTTTTTTCTTTTATAGTATTTTTTACAGTAACAATAGAATAGTTAAACATAATACTTTTTTCTGCTGATTTCAGAATTTATACACTAAATCAGACTTATGAAAGTGTGGCAAAGCACTTTCATCCTCTAATCCTAAGTAAACTGCATAATATTTTACCTTATAGGAATTTTGAATCATATGCCTGTCTTTCAATTCTGGGACCTAGACACAATTTTGGCTCATTTCAACCTAGGATCTCAAAACCACATGTGTATATATTAACTTCTACTTACTGATTTTATTTTTCCTATTCTTCTCTTCTTTTATTCCAAATTTCTCATTTATTTTTTCTTCACATCTTATTATATTACATGTAGAATAATAAGAAGTTATAATCTACCTTACACCCTTTAAAATATAATAGGGCATACATTTAGAAAAGATAACCAATAACATTAAGCAAAATTAATGAAACTCATTTGTAATAATAACATCTTAAGAAAAGTGAGTTTTACTAAGTCTAATGATAATGCAATATTTGTATAAGTAGTAGAAACAATATTTGGTGTCTAAACCACAAGTAAAATTTCAGGTATTTTATTTTCTTAATATTTTGTTAATATTCCCTTTTTCTAACTTGTTTAAAATTCTTGTTTAAAATTACAAACAACAAATTTATGAAAGAAGATGTGACTGTGATATTAAGCAGATCTAAAACTTGGGAATATTAGTACCAGAAATACTAAAGGGAACTATGAAATACACTTTTCTCATATTCAATATGTGAAGAACAGTTGATTGTGTCAGTATAGATTCTGGAAATCATGCTATAGATTGCCATTTTTCTAGACTGAAATGTAAAAATGTTAGGTTGAGACATGACTGACGGATTGAAAAGAGGAGTGCCAGGCATTCATACTCAATTGAACTTACTTATCTTACTTACTCAGTATTTATTATTCAATCTTACTCAGTTGTTCTAAACTTGTACATTTCTGTACCTTAATAATAACTGTCGGTTCTCTTAAATAGTTTCTCTAAACATTATTTCTAGAAAAAAATATTGAAAACATGTAGACTGAGTTCTACAACAATATTCAGTATTTACGTGTTTTAGGCAGACATCTGATAAGTAACATCTTTAGGTGTTTTTCTATTAAAAAAAAAGACATTTATTGACCTCTTGTTTGGTTATTCAGTTTTTACTTTCAAGTGTATTTTGAAGCTGTTCCTACTCAGCATTCCAAGTGGAATTGGATTCCCCTTCCTCTTTTCCCCTTTTCTTTCCAAATTTAGTGGTTGATTGTTGATAATAGCTATGGGTAGATTTTCCAAAAGGCCATTTAAGTTGGGCCATGAGGCAGAACAGACCAGGTGCAAACAACTTAGGTTCTTTGGCAATTATATTAATGTGCCAAGTCTCTGGAGCGCATATATACCACTCCTGTTCATCTGAATTTAATGGATTATTGCAGTAGTGGATCAAATCAAACAAAATAAATTATGCACAGAAAAAATTTGGAAAACTTTTTTGTTAAGCAAAAAAGAAAAACTTTGCATGATGTAGACAGAAGCCTGGCAGTAAATTGTGGGCCAAATTTCAGGCTCCTTCCAAAATGAAGTTTAAAAAGAATGAAAAAAGAAGGTAGGATAAAAGCTAATACATTCTCTGCTAAGCATCACCCAGGAGATACATATCTTAACATTTTCTTTAAAAATGTTTTCTTAGCTAAAAATTCATTATATATAAGGAAAAAGAGTCCCACACAAAGCAACTCATTGTGTTTAGTTCTATTTGAATGTGTCCTGATCCCTCTGCCTCCACTACAACCATGCAGTTCTTGCACTCTGTTCCTGCGTTTTCTAGGTGTCCAACCCCAGGTTGTGATGGTTCAGGGCACGTGACTGGAAACTATGCTTCGCACAGAAGGTGAGATCAATTTTGTTTCTGAAGGAGGGCAGTCATAATGTTGACAGCAATGGCCAGTGAGATCACCTGGTTTGGTTTTGTTCTTTGTTGTCTGCATATTTAGTTTGTCCGGCTGCCCTCGTGCCAGGAAAGGTAGTGTCAAAATGACTCCTACAAAGGAAGAAAAAGAAGACCCTGAACTCAAGTGAGTGTGATTGTCAGTTGAGGTGTGGCCAGATGTAGTTTGTTGGTCAAATGGGCAGGATGTTGGTGGGGAGGCAACTAAGCATTGATTAAGGTTGAGGGGTGGAGGCACCCAGTTAAACGCAAGGACCCTTGAAGCAGCCATCAGAGTGTTTAAAAGCTTGAGCAAATTATCTTATCCCTAGCTGTGTGTACAGAGTTCTTTGATAATGCAAACAAACAAACAAACAGACAAAAAACAACAACAACAACAGCAAAAAAACCAACAACAACAAAAAAACTAAGTCTATACTTTTTCCAGTTGCTTTAAAGAAAAAAAGCATGGTGGAAGTACAAGCATGACAATATGGCAACGTTTCCCCCAAAAGCTTTAATTTTGGTTAAGATGAAATTTTATCTTAAATTTCTTGCTCTACAACATTTCTCAATGCATTATTGAGACATTTAAAAACCAACATTCCAGTGCTATGGGCAATGTGCTGCATAACGTAGGGCAAAGCGGTAAACATTTTATACCCATGGTCTTTGGTTGGAGGCAGCATGGCAGAGCTTACGTGGTTGACTCTAGAGCTAAAAAGTGTGGGTGTGAACCTGACTCCACTTCTTGTAAAATGGGTGGCAACTTAACTAAGCTCTATCAGCCTCATTTTCTCCACCCGGAAAATGGGACAGTAACACTATGTTCAGCGGGTTTGCAGTGGGGATCACAGGAGATAATGCATAAACCTTGCTTAGCTCAGCCCTGTGGACCACTATTTCTGGTAATACAGTGCTGTTTTGCTGGTTGTGATGGCATTTTTAAAAACTCTTTAATTCCACCACTTGCCATCTGTACTATATGGAATTGCCACTGTCTTCTTACTCATCTACTTACATCGCTTCGTGTGAGTTATCTAGTGTCTCCCAGCTGGTAATGACTCTTCTGTGTCTCTCTAGATGTCCTGTGATAGGGTGTGACGGCCAAGGTCACATATCAGGTAAATACACGTCCCACCGCACAGCTTCTGGCTGTCCCCTGGCTGCCAAGAGACAGAAGGAGAATCCTCTCAATGGGGGCCCCCTCTCCTGGAAACTGAACAAACAAGAGCTACCACACTGTCCCTTGCCAGGCTGCAATGGGCTGGGCCATGTAAATAATGTTTTTGTCACCCACAGAAGGTAACATTTGTTTTCTGCCTTTTGTTGTGTTGTGGTTGTGGTTGTGGTTGTGTTCACCTCAATGGCTTTGGGTTGAGGGAAGAATCCCTCCTTGAGTTCATTAATCATAGTACTTTAGATGGTGCAGCAAGTCTTGCCAGAGAGGTGTTTGACTCCTTTGAAGAATGAAAAATGTTATATCCTCTGTTTCTGAAAACTTACTACACAGTTGTTAAGTGCTATAGAAACTGCATTTGTTTTTTGTGTTCTCAAATTTGCTTATGCTGCTATTTTTTAATGGTTTAGTCTTTTAATGGTTCACTTCAATTTCAAGTGGTGATATTTACTCTATTATGTAGTGTAATTGTAAACTTTCTCTTTACATATTTATATCCCTCCCTCTTGTGAACTGGTTCAATTTCAGGCCAAATTGTAGTTATTTTGCTTCGGGGGAGATGTGACTCATCCCCAGCAGCCAGAAAGAGAATGGCACAGTGACTACTAAGTATACGACAGGATGAGAGAGATTTAGAAAACCCTTTATAGTTTCACAATGACTTAATTCCTTTGTCACTGAGTGTCGTGGATTTCAATGGAGCCCTTTGTCAGGAACACTGATCTTAGTCCAGCTTTTTGGTTCACATTCTACCTAAAGAAAAGGCACTAGCAGATTCAGTACACACTTCTCCAATCAAGGAGGATCCTTCTAGTCTACTGGTCCCTGCGTGTGATGTGGATTTAAAAACCCAATGAAGCTTTAGTGAGCCCTGATGCTTCGCTTGTGAGCAGTATGCAAACTGAGAAAAGCAGGGGCATTCTATATTTTATTTGGTTTTAAAGGTACATATCAATGATATCAGAAAATTAACCCTTCCAGGAATTGCTGTTTTAAGTAGATATACAGCCATATCTGCTTATTGAGAAAACCTACATTTTTTAAGTGGTTTATTTTTTAAATTTTTAATTAATAATTTAAATTTAAATTTAAATATTAATTTAAATTAATAATTTAAATAATATTTTTTAATTTTTAATTTTTAATTTTTTTAATTTTCAAATGCATGGCCATGTTCACAATAGCCCACATTGCTTTATTCTGAGTTTGAATCCTCATTTCATATTTGGGAGCGACAGTCACAAATCAAGTGTGCCTAATGGCATATTAACTGCACAGTAGCTTGACTTTCTTATTGTGGACTCAGTAATATCCATGTTAACACTGATAATGAAATGTTAATGCTGTACTATGATGGGCACATCCCTCAGTCAGCAACAACAGGATTATCTTTAAAAATCATGAAGTTTTAATGATGACACTAAGGCTTGGTGAGGATAGGGAGCAACAGGGGCTCCCACTAGCAGTGGAAGAGTAATTGGTAGAGCCATTTCAGGAAGCAAAGTGTCTTTAGGAGTCCAGCTGAAAAAGGGCAAATGGACATACCTTGTAACCCAGATACTGAGCTGTTAGGCTGATGCCTCAGAGAGTCTCATGCATAATGGACCCCAGAGACATGTCTGAGAATGTCTGTGGTAGCATTGCTCTGTAAAGTCCAAACTGGGAACAACCCACGTACCCACAAAGTCAGGATGTGTCGGGGGGGGGTGCTGCCACATGGTGGTGACAATGAAGATGTGTTCTAAGTGGATTATAAAACACAATGCTTGCTGAGCAGAAAAATAATTGTTGAAGAATATGTATGGCATGCTTCTGTTTCCAAAAAGTAAAAAACAAGTAACAATATTGCATTTAAAAAGCTAGGGTATCATCAACCTACAATTCAAGACAATGGTTATGTCTGGGGGCAGGAGAGGCAATTGTTGAAGTCATGGGGAGCTTCAAACATCTTCATGTTTGAAGGTAAAAGGTATTTACTCTGAGAGTATTCTTTAAACTGCAAATACACACTATGTATCTAGGTACATATTACCTATTTCATAGTAAGAGAAAGAAAAGTATGATTTCAAAATTAGGCTTCAACATTCATGCCAAGATATTATTCTCTAAGAGAAAGGAAATAATTATGTGTAAAAACAAGTGAATAATTCAGACTTCACTGTTCTTCACTAGAGAGCTCTCTTGCTACTTGGAAGATTTAAGAGACTGAATTCACTTTGGGGTATTCTCTTTAAGGTGGAATGCTTCTCTTTACTATATATAGAATGTAATGAAATAATGTAATAAAGTGCCTAGCTTATAGCCTGGCACATAATGGTGTCTGACCCAGACAATTTCCTTTCCCTTTCATAAAAATTATATTAACATATGTGTATATATGCAATAATTCATTAATAATTCATTAAAGTAGGAATGACTTATGCTGAAATAGCATGATTTAACCTATGAGACACTTTTATATATTCCGTATTTTGCCCCTCAAATCCCCGAGGTTGTTCGGTACTCTTTCCCATCCCTGACAATGGCGAACATCTATTCAGGGCACGCTCTGTTCCAGTAGAGAGCACTGTTCTAAGTACCTTAGGTGGTTTATTCCTTTAATCCTTTACAAAACCCTGTGAGCTACAGAGGTAGTATAATTATCCTCCATTGACAGAAGAGGACAAGCACAGGGTAGTTCGGGGATTGCCCTTGCACACAGCGTTAGTACAGCAGAGCCCCTGTCGTGAGCACTGTATCATCTCCATCCTTAGCGTTCAGGGGATCTTTCTGTGTGCCAGCCTCACAGTCTTTCCCCAGCCATTCTCTCTAAGGTGAATTTCATAATTTTTCTCACTCTAACATGCACCAAAACAGGAATAATTACAAAACTCACCTTATAGGATGGTTGAGAACAATTTGATCCATGCATTTACATCAGCATATTTACAGACTAATTATTTTAAAACTGTGCTTTAAGTCTTGCAAGGCATACTTCTATTTTGAAAAACTGGCAGTCTGGGAAAACAAATTTTTTTATATAAAGACACACACACACTCACACACACAAACACACACACATACACAAGATGGATGTTTGTAACTTCAGACTAGAACATTTATGACAATTAGACCTCATTTAGTCCTGTGCCATAACTGTCATTTTTTAGGGTTTTTTGAGTTTTTTTTAATGTAAACTGTGATGTCCATGTATTGTATCATCAGAAATATCACTTTAACAAGGCAGATGAAGATATGGTTTAAAATCGCCATGATATGTGATTAAATTGCAAATTGGTCAAAACCATAAAAGACATTTTTTCCTGCCTTTGCAATTCAGAGCCCAAATCTTGACAGAGACACCCCAGTCAACCTCTATCTTTTCTTAAGGAATAGTTTGAAGCCCCATGGAGGATGTGGTCATCCTCAAAAGGAAAAATGACATTTTATCATTTTTTTATCCCAATTTTTTTTAATTTAAGATTTGTTTTATACCCTGGAAGATGTAACTGCGTTGGAAGATACAAACTATCAAGTGACATTGTGAAACCATACCCTCACTTTCATAACTTAACTATACCCTTAGGTTCTAAGTTACATAGCTGTGGACACTTCATTAACTCTCCTCACCACTGTGTTACAACTGAACATTTATTATCTTGTTGTTGGAACAAAGCTGATTGTTTAGAGGACAGAGTCAGGGATGTTCTCCTGAGCTATTAGTAGCCATTACCATTACATGACAAATGGACTTACTACAGGTCACTTTCTTTTAAAAGTTTTTTTGCTTTATTTGAGAGAAAGCGAGTTTGAGGGAAGAGGGAGGTGTGGGGAGGCGGGGAAGTCAGAGAGGGAGAGAGAGAATCCCAAGCAAGTTCCCCACTGAGCATGGAGCCCATGCAGGGCTTGATCCCACAGCCCTGAGATCATGACCTGAACTGAAATAAAAAATTGGATACTTAACCAACTGAGTCACCTAGGCACCCCACTACAGGTCACTTTTAAAATCCATCTTACCAAATATTAATCCTGTTCATGACCATTTTCTGAGAACACTATATAGGACATAAAGTAAGACAGACTTATAAAAACTTTTCAGAAAAAGAAAAAATATAATGAAGCTTATATAGGCCACATTGTATGGTGAGAATCTTACAAAATAGGAAAATCTGGTTTATCATTCTGTTTGTGTTTTTTCATTATTTTCTCCTCCTGTGTTAAATATTTCATAATTTATCAAGTTTTGGCAAACCACATATCCTTCTTTTTCTATGTAGTATTACATATCTATTATTTTTGGATTTCATATAATCTTCATATAGAATAACTTTGAATGTACTTTAAAATACATTCATAGAGTGCTTGGGTGACACAGTTGGTTAAGGGAACGACTCTTGGTTCAGGTCAGGTCATGATCCTCAGGGTCATGAGATCAGGCCCCAAATCTGGCTCCACGCTCAGAGAGGAGTCAGGTTGAGATATTCTCTCTCCCTCACCCTCTGCCCCCTCCCCACTGAAATAAATAAATAAATCTTGAAAAAAAAAAAAAAAAACACACATTCATGTAGCAAACATTTATTAAGGGCAATGCTTTAGAAATATTTCTTTTCACTTTGCCAAGTGTTGTAATGCTTGAATTGAAAATGATTATTTTGTACATGAATTGCAACCAAATATCTAGGAAAAAAAATATTCTAAGTGGCTGATTGTGACAATTTTTAACATTATTTAAAAATTGCATCTCCGAAAATACAACAAAATTGCAAAATAATGAATGGTTACTTAAAACAACAAAATCATTTGATCATCTACTACAGCAAACAAATTTTGTTCAATGTTTCATTATCATTTTGGTGCAATTTAAATAAAACAGATGACATTAAAGAAAGGAAGCACAGCTGAAGAATACAGCAATTAAGGAAAAGATGTAAACCCCACTGCAGGACAATACACCGCCTGCAGGCAGTGCATTTGAATATATTTATAGTGGTTCCTTTCATTCTCCTTTCAGCATAGGCATTTTTTTTAATGAAAAGTAATGTTTAAAAAATTAAGAGTATAAAGTAGAAACGTTCTCATGTCCAAACGGCATGTGATATACCAGTTTATTTTTATTATTTTGGGTTTAATTTGAGTCATTCTGTAAAGACCGACTATAGTACATAAAAGACAGGAAGAACTAGATCCTGCTTAATTATTTATGGAATATTGACTCATTTGGAACAATTCTTATTTGTAATATATATGTACTCTTTTACATTTACAGAAAATAAAGTAACCATTCCTAAAAAAAGGCACTTGTATGAATGCAGAATAGTAACATTTTAACAAAATTAATTAAATGATAATATCAGTAATGGTTATTTGAATTTTGATTTAAAGAGCAAAAACACAAAATATAATTATATTATCTGAGGGCCTTTGCTTTTGTGTTCATAGATATTAGGTGTTATTTCTACAAAGAGACTGCAGATTATAATGTAATTAGTAGGCAAAGACTTAGTAAGTGATGAACATAAAATTTTAATTTTTATAAGAAGTAACATGTGTTTTTTTATTATTTTTTTATTATGTTATGTTAGTCACCATACAGTATGTCATTAGTTTTTGATGTACTGACATGTGTTAAAAAAAAAAAAGGAGTAATATGTATTTCACACACTGGTACTATTTCTATTCTCACAGCTTATCTGGATGTCCTCTAAACGCACAAGCCATCAAAAAGGGCAAGGTCTCGGAAGAACTAATGACCATCAAGCTCAAAGCAACTGGCGGTAAGAGCACAGGGCTAGAAAGCTACCATCCCCACCAAGGTCTCAGCCGTAACTCCCCAAAGTTGTTCGCCTGCCAAATTATTCCCTATATGGAAAGTGTAATTTTAATATACAAGGAGGATGTTTTCCTTGAATCTCAACTAAAACTATAACTTCATCTAAAAAACAACTTCTTGGGTTTTTTTTTTCCTTTTTCATTAAGTATCTCTAACACAGAAAATCAAGCATTACCATTTGAAGGACTAAGACACACCAGCTGAACTTTTGTCTTTCAGTCCTCAAAATCACACCTTTGCATGAGTGTGTGTGTGTGTGTGTGTGTCTGTGTGTGTGTGTATGTGTGTTCCTGTTGTAAGCCTTCTATCAGATTTCAAGAAATGCAGTTTTGGGCATCTGTCTTTGAATCCTTAAGGTTTGTTGCATCCTCAAAATATTTTTATGATGAATCTGGATGATTTAAATTTATATCTATACTTCCCTAGTGTCGATGCTTTATAGAAGTTAGTAATGCAGTTTCTGAACTCTGTCTTTGGATCCTCCAATTTTCCTTTGACTCTTGAGTGCTTTTCCTAAGAGCTGTCATCAATGTCATCTCAGGTATGTGTTGTCTCCTTAGATCATCTTTCTAAAGCATCTAGAAACAATGGCAAAGCATCGTTTTGTTTCCGAGATTGATTTGATGACGTCTTTGGCACATAACTGGATTGGAGTAACTGTTTTTACCTTACTTCTTTGAAAGCATTTCCCAATCTTTTTAATTTGCTATGACTTTTTACAAAGAAGATATGCAGTATCTGAGGGAGGGAAGCACTTTTGAGCCTCCTACAATTTCCCTTCTGAGGTTTTCATCTGCTGTCAGATGCATTATCTAAAGTGGCCTCTTGGGGACCTGCTCTCCCTCTTGGAGCCACCACTAAGAGGTGAAGGGGGTCAATTTGCCTGTGGAGGAGGAATAAAAGAACTGGAGGTTAGAGATTGTGCTGGACATTCTTTCCAACACCTAGATGCTCAGTAAAAGTGCTTTCTCCAGATGTTTTTCATTGTTCCTCGGAAATCCCCCTCTTCTCAACTGCCTCTTAGCACATTCTCTGTAAAACTGGCACAATTTTATATATGTGTGTGTGTGTGTGTATACATGTATATTTTTTTAAATTTATATGTCACCTTCTTTCAAGCAATAGTTAAATGATGGGGAGTGCAATGCTACATTAAGAAAAAGCTAGTTAGAAGTTAATTCAAAAAAATGAGACAAAAGGAGATCAAAGATAAGAAAGCAAGGTGGGACAAGCCTGAGGATAATAACAGGAATGTGCGAAACAAGCCTTTTTGCCGTGGTTAAAAAGGGATCTCAGATTTTACTTTCACCTCTTTAAACCCCAAAGCAAAAGGAGAGTATAATCACTGTAAGAATCACACAGTCAGCAAGTAAATTCAAAGCAAAACTTTCTCTGGAAGTGACTGCATGAAGAAAATATTTCCTATGAGTCTTCATTATAAGAACACCAGCAACACCTTTAACAGTAAATATAATAGAAATCACAGGCTCTTCCTAATAAAGATAAGAACAAAACAGTAAGCTGTTGGCATTGCAACAAATTATAGTAAAGCTTTGCAGAGTGCCAGTGAGATGTGGGCCGGGTACACACAGCTCCACTGGGCTGTTCAAACCCCCTAGTAGATGGTTATAGTAACCTCAGAGCAGATGGACTGCACATACCTTCTTTGAAGGGTGCTTTTTATTTTTTTTATTAATTTTTTAATTTTTAATTAACATATAATGTATTATTAGCCCTGGGGATGCAGGTCTGTGAATCGCCAGGTTTACACACTTCACAGCACTCACTATAGCACATACCTTCCCCAATGTCCATAACCCAACCACCCTCTCCCTACCCACCTCCCCACAGCGACCCTCAGTTTGTTTTGTGAGATTAAGAGTCTCTTATGGTTTGTCTCCCTCCTGATCCCATCTTGTTTCATTTATTCCTTTCCTACTCCCCAAAACCCCCACATTGCCTCTCAACTCCCTCATATCAGGGAGATCATATGATAATTGTCTTTCTCTGACTTATTTCACTAAGCATAATACCCTCTAGTTCCATCCACGTCGTCACAAATGGCAAGATTTCATTTCTTTTGATGGCTGCATAGTATTCCATTGTGTATATTTATACCACATCTTCTTTATCCATTCATCTATTAATGGACATCTAGGTTCTTTCCATAGTTTGGCTATTGTGGACATTGCTGCTCTAAACATTCGGGTGCACGTGCCCTGAAGGGTGCTTTTTAAATTGAGCATCTTCAGCTGAACTTTCAAAGGATGTGAAGCAGCAGAAAGATGGCTGGAACACATTGACAAGTGTCTGAAGTGCATTTATTCTAAATGGGCCAGGAAACTGGAAAATTTACACATTTTCATAATCTAAAAAGCTAGGGGCTGATGCTTTTCTGAAGCCTGAGAACCCACAATAACTTGTGTGTGAAGAAAAATCTACCTGAGTTCAAGTCAGTGGTCAGTGGAGGGTCAGGGAGGACCTAAAGCTATTTGAGCCCTTCTCTAATCATGTGCCATCCCCATACTCCCCTACCTTAAAGCTTGGACACAGCCATGGTTCCCTGGATGACTTATAAAACAGGCGTAACCCAACATTCCCCAGATCCTAAAAAGAAATCAAATTGCAATAACGTACAAAGTGCATATGACTTTAAACTTCTTGTTGTTCTATATTAAGTTAAAATAGATACAAATCATTCAGGCAATTGGTCGGATTACCTAACATGTTAGGAGAATTTTACCTACAAACCAATTAAAACATGGAACGTCAACACCAAAAATATTTATGTTTATTTTAGAAGAATTGATCTTTAGTTCTCCTCCTTGCCATAATTAAATTGCCATGCTAATTTTTTAAAGACCATTACTGGTCCTTGATAATAAAATTAGAACATCTGTACATGAATAAACCCTTGCCTTTCTGTTCTTTGTGAGACAAATAAAAGTTATAATGGTTGACCTATGTATGTATTCTTATATTTAGCAGATCCTTCTAGTTCTTTCCATGTGGCAAATTACCATGCTTTAAATATTGTGATACATTATTCTTTTCTGGATAAAACTTTATCTAACAACTTAAAGCCCCTTATAAGTTGAGCATATCCACTATATACAAGTGTTTACATCCCTTATTCATTTATACAGAATATAAAGTATTATTATAAGTTATGTAATCCCTAATTATGTATATTAGGCATAGATTTGCACCAAGTAAAGAAAGCATATTATTTTGATTTTAAACAGGTTTCCCTATAAGGAAACACTGAAATAGTTCTACTAAAATATTTAGCAGAAAGTTTCTATGGTTTCCATGGTCAACAATATATGGCTAGTCTAACCCAGCCCTCTACTTCTACTCTCTATTCTGTTGTGTGTATATCCATCAAGGAACATCAGCGCAAATATTTAATTGAAAATTTCAAAGCAGATTAAATATCCATGAGTAAAGGTAGCATTAAAATGGTTGAGAGAACATATTCTGGAACCAGAGAGCTTGCGTTTTGAATCCTAGCTCTACTGCTTACTATTTAACCTCTTCATGCCTTGTTTTCCCGTCCATAAAATGAGGTAATAAGTATATCTGCCTCTTGGGATCCTTAAAGAATCAAATGAGTTCATATTTGCAAGTGCAGTGTGAAATTCAAAATGTGTGGCATCCTCTCAGTTCCACTCAGTGGCAGAGCCTCTTAAAGACGGTGTATGGAGAGGAGGTTGACAGATAAATAATCAATAGAAATAGATAAGGTAATGTATTCATGGAAAAAATTACAAAGAGACTGGCTAAAATACCTACCTTCCCCTCAAAATTAAAAAAAAAATCCCATCACAATGTTCCTTTTTTGAGGTCTCATCTCATGATCATACCTTCCCATAGACTTTTGTTCTTAGGCATCTTTCAAATGGCCCCATCTTTGTCAAGAGGCTTGAGTGTCCTCACTGCATAGGATGCCAGGGGAATGTAATCCTAACTAGAGCTCAGTACAAAGAATCTGGGCTCACAGAGTCTTCTCACAAATATCTGTGACTTCACAACCAAAATTAAACTCTTGATTTTCCTGCTAGAAGCTTCTGCTCCCCTAGGCTCCCTCATCCATGGAATGCCACTAGTTGCCCAGCTGCTCAAGCAGAAACAGATAGTCTTCCTTGATTCCTCCATTCTCTTATCTCCTTCCTCCCATTCATCACAATTGCTGCGAATCCCACCTACAAGTTTTATGTTGAGTCCACTTCTATTACACTTACTACCACTTCCATGGGGCAAAGAACCATCAGATGAGCCAGGATCCCAGTGATGATCTCCTAACTGGTCTTCTAGTTTCTGTTTTCTCTCCCTGTCACCCCATTCTCTACTCAGATCTGAGTTATGCTTTCACAAAGCCAACCAGATCACATCAACTCCCCTGCTTAAAATTCTTCACTGGCTCCCATTGCACAAGGAATAAAACCAAGCTCTTTGTGAGGTCTCCCATGACCTGTTTCTTCACTCATGAGGGCCTTCTTATAGGCCCAGGAGCAGAATATCCATTCCCTTCCCACCCCAGGCCTCTGTGCTTTCTAGTCCCTCCCCTGGGGTGCTCATCCCAACCCAATCCCAAGCTTTTCATGTGCCTGTTTTTTACTGTATCAGTAAACTCTCAGATTAAAAGAGGCTTCCCCAGCGCCCTGCTTGTTTCCTTCATAGTTCTTCATAGTTTATCAGTTGCTTCCTTGCTTATCGTCTGCCTCACCAGATACTATGTAAGAAAATGCCGTCTTCTGAAGTGGAATTTTATTGAGAAGAGACAAAAAGGACAAACAATGTGGCAAAGAAATATAGCAATAGAAATTTTCATTTGCTCAAACCAGAAAAATTTTAAGCGCTGATAGCACTCAAAATACCTGTTTAATGGACCATCTACGCTCCCTGGTGTTGTCAAAAACAAGTATTTCAATCCTACTCATCTGAGAAATAAAGATCCTGTACTTGGATACCAACTGATAAAACTTGGTGCTCAGAAACCAGTGAAATTCCCCAGATACAGTCAGCCAGTTCAGAATAAATCCTGTGTCCTGGATGTTATACAGCCATTAGTGTGGTCCTGGGTGATTGTTTATTGTTCTCTTAGGAGCTGTGTCACTTCTGTTGACTCGTATTCAAATTGGTCTAGGTACTAAAATACCCAGATCTTAGTTGTTGGTTTGCTTTTCTTCTTTATTGAATCTCAGAGCCCCGTATTAGATCAATCTCGTGGCATACTCTCTTCATTGGTGCATGCATAGCCCACTTTTATTTAGGTGGTTAGTAACTTATAATAAAGCAGTAAGGACCCACAAAACAGCCACCTGTCTTCATCAAGCTTTATGAAAATAGAGCTCACAGTTTTCTTAACATGTTATTGGTAAGAGTCATTCATGTTGTTTTGGCGGGCATGCAGTGTGTTTCCAGACTGGGCTTTTGTGAATGAGTTGTGTTCATCTAGTGCATGCCTCCTCTTGTGCACCTGCAGTCGTTTGTCTCAGGTGTGTACCTAGGGATGGAATTGCTGGGTCATAGAGCACGTGAAGTTTACTTTCGGGGGACAATGAACTGTTGTCCAGAGTAGTAACCCCAGGGCAGTGTAAGAGTCTAGAACTCTTTCAAACAAGTTGTCAGTTTTCTCATCCTTGCTCTCATGAATTCAATCTTATTAAATCTAAATGCAGAAGTTTACATTTATCCATCTTAATTGTCATCATCTCTTTGGTGCAGATTCACTCACCTCATGTCCTGCTTCTGTCCTTTTTAATATGAGCTTCCATTCTGAACTTAAAAAAAAATACTTAAAATGCATTCATATTCCTTCTATAAAATAGTGATGAGAAATAACTCCCACTCATTGAGAACCTACTCTACATTCAGCACTTTATAATTTATTGCACTAATTCTTACAACATAGATTTTATGCTTATTTTATTGAAGAAGAAACTGGGGCACAAAGAAATTAAGTAAGTTGTATAGGTTCAAGAGCAAGAGTCAGGGCCAGCATTCGAATTCCAAAGCCCGTGTTCCTTCTCCTAGATTGCATTGCTCCTTATCCAGCTCTACATAGGGAACCCAAATTTTGTGTCCTTGGACTCTAAGCCCCCTGCTTACACCCCAGCTCTGCCTCCAGTGATGATTCATAAGGTCCTACACAGGTAATAAATATGCAACTAATCAGCATAATTCGTGTCATAACTGTTCTTACAACACTGTGTACGAGAGGATGCATGGGCTATGGAATTCATTCCTAGCTCTGCTGTTACTCTGGACACAGGCAGGTTATGCAGCCTCTGTTGTGATGAGTGTGGCTGCATTTAGCCTCTCTAGACTCAGTGTCTTCATATGTGAAAAAGGTATAATGGAACATGCCCCATAGCGTGCAGTGAAGTTTAAATCAGAAATTATCTGCAGACATGTGTAGCAACATACCTGGAACATAACAGTGCTACATTAAATGGTATTACTTTTCTACTCCTTTTTCTTACAAAAGAACTCTTTAACCCACTTTTTAGAATCTTGGATATAGATTTGGGTAAAAATTCAACATTTCAAATTAAAGTCCAATTTTCACTTAGTAAAGCACAAATTTAAACATAAAATGACTCATATTGTCACTGTCTCATATTTTCTGTTTAAACTCAGATAGTCTGACTTTTTGTAGGTTTAGAGAGTGATGAAGAAATTAGGCATTTGGATGAAGAAATAAAGGAATTGAATGAATCCAACCTTAAAATTGAAGCAGATATGATGAAACTTCAGACGCAGGTAAAAACAACAATAACACAACAGAAAAGCTATTAGTTATCTTTAAAGTGATCGCAATCAATAGCGGAGGCAAAACATAAAACTGTTAAATGTTGTGTAAAAAAATAAACTGATATCTTACAATGAATACATTGACCATGTCTCAGTGACACCATTGCATGGCTAGGTAGATCACCCTGGGCCATCATTGATTATCTGTAGGAAAAGCTACTCATGTTTTTGCCTTGGGTGTCTTAAAGGCTTTAGAAGCAAATAAAGCCAATCATCCTGTAACTAGAGTCCTGCAGAGCACATGGTGTTTTCGAAAAACTGTCATTAGAAGATGTAAGAGTAGTTAGTATTATTCAAAATTCAAATAAACAGATCTTTTCACATTTGAATTTTCTAGAACATCTCTGAATGTGTATTTGTTAGAAACAGTCTTTTTGGAGATTTTTCTGGAGACACTGTTTACTGAAAAATCCAAGCAATTTCTCAATTCTGTATTCTTCTATGTAACATCTGCCCCATCCTCTGACTAGATTTATCCAAATGGAAAATATTTTTTTATATTTTATTTTGAGCCAATGGTTAACCCAGTCATATTTGACCTATATTAAGACTTACATCTTAAGAGACTTTTATTGGTAGCTGTGTTGAAGACAGGTCAAGAAGAGATTGCATGGGGCAAAGCCAGGCATAGGGCCACCCATGAGAAAGCAGTCACAGTCACTCCAGGGGCTGGACCCAGGGGCCATCAGTGCAGGTGAGGACAGTCTCCATCTTGGATATTGTGAAGAACTATGAGAAAAAGAGAGCTTTCAGGCCTGAGCAGTGTTCAAGTTGGGAAAATGAGGACTGTGTGTGGAGCAGGTTTGGGAGAAGTAGCAAAGGCTTACTCTTGAACATACTAAACTTGAGATAGTCACCACGTAGCCATGTGGAGATGTGGAATTTGCAACTCATAGGAAGTCTGGGCTAAAGACGTAAACTTGGGAATGTGATTCCAAAACTTAAAGCAATATGAGGGGTTGCGGTTTTATGAGAAGTTGTGGAGTAGTACGCATTCCTTGGCAGTCAGGTTCAGCGGATGCCTTTCCTTCAGAGAGAAACCTCTTGCCCTCCTCCAAATCCAGCTGCTCACATTCCCAAGTTACTTCCTTTTCAGATCACATCTATGGAGAGCAACCTAAAGACAATAGAGGAGGAGAACAAGCTCATAGAGCAGAACAACGAGAGCCTGCTGAAGGAGCTGGCGGGCCTGAGTCAAGCTCTCATCTCAAGCCTTGCGGACATTCAGCTTCCACAGATGGTAAGTCCAAGGCAGGACCTTGGCTTGCTCGGTTGCAACGCCCCTACGCACTCACCAGGAGGGCCACCCGTCAGCAGCCACACAGGTAGTGCGCATGCTCTATCGCGTCTGACAGACAGCCACCTCCCTCACAGGGACCATGACAGACACATACATTAAATTACATGAAAGCCAAAGGTTTTTGAAATTGCAGGAATCATTTAAAGGTGGCGGTTTATTCAAAACTTGCTTTATAATGTAATACAAAGGTTGGAGGCCAAAGCTCCCTCCTAAAAGTTTATTTCCAGATAGAGAACTTAGAAGCCTTACAGCCATTCGTGCCATCCACTCTTGCTCAAGAACCATAAAAAAAAAAATTATTTTTAATTTGGCGTTAAGTAGGAAGAACATATTCATGTTCTCATATGAAATAAAAAGTGAGCAAGTCATCCTTATTTTCAAAATCTAAACATATACTTGAGTTTTGGCAACTATTTCAAATTCATAGATAATTAGTTCCTGTCACATTTTCATAAATATTATAAACATTTGGAAGAGAGGCTGCATTGTTGAATGCTTTTAATTTCCTTAATGCTTAGAGCAAGTTCTTTAGAGCTGCAAATTTTATATATAGAATTTATATATAAAGATATATAAAGAAGCAGCAATTTCATGAAAAAATATGATTGGTTTACCTGAAAGCAATAAATCCCTCAGTTTACCCAATTTTGCAGCATGGAACCCTCATCTTACCCAATTCCAAACGTGTCTCTTGACAATTAAAAAAAAATCGATAACAAAGGAAAATAAATTATTACTTCATGGCCAGTATTAAGGTAAATTTTAGATATTATTGTAATATTATTTATGAACATTTGTCTAATTCATACTTGAAATTTGTATTCATTACTATGTTTTCCTTCACAAATGCCATAAAAATAGTCATTACCATACAAGAGAAACTGTACCTTATAGAGCTATATGCAAGGCAGCCTAGTGGTGATTTTTAAGGCTGATTACACTAAATATTCACACAGACACCCAACAGTCAGCTTTGGCCTTCCCATTCTGTAGTTGAGGAAATCAAAGTTCAGAGATCATGTAATTTGATCCAGGCTCCAAAGCCAGATGAGCCAGGCTTTACTGTGTGGACTTTATCCACTCTGCTGCCTGGGTCCTGGTCCAGTTACAAACTCTCCAAGAAACCCATGACACAGCAAGGGCAGAAACTGAAAGGGAACAGAAAACCGTGGTTAGACAATACTCATAATTCAGATCAATATCTTGCTAAGCACAGCAGGATAATCTTCAGAATTAGCAAGCCTACCTTCTAAATAACAGCAATAATGATAACATCCTTTATTGCTCTAGTATTTAGACCTTTGAAAAATCCTTTCTTCCAAGCATGTCGTGAAGCAAGTAAAGCACATTCACATTTTCCAAAAGGTGGGAAAATGGAGGAACCCAGAAATGGTTAGTAGCATGCCCTTTGTGTCTTGCATTTCCCTTCAGGCACATGTGCAATTTACATGGATCAAGTGACCACTCTCTGAAGCACCACATTAGACAAAGAAGCTACTAAAACACACAAAAAGAATAAGAGATAAGCAGATCTTGGTGAATCTGATGTGCTACCTGAGCAGAGATAGAAAAATGCAAGGATATATTACAATGATGCCACATGGGGAAAATAGCCAAAAAGGTGTCTGAGGACGAAAAAAGAAAAAATGTCCACCTGGTTAGTGAGCAACTTGCTCAGATCTTAAGTGCCTTTAATTCCAGCCCAGTGCTGTCAAAGGAACCACCTGGTTCAAGCAAAGTCTTCCTCTATAGCCTCTCCGACATTCCCCTTGTGCAGACAGGAGGTCTGTGGTGCTGGACACGTGCAACTGAAGCTGAGGCAGCCTCCCCAAAGAAGCAGTGCAGCTCTGAGGGGTCCAGCTCAGTAGCCAGGTATCTATCTGACACAGCTCCAAATTGACCGCAAAATACTAACAATCACAGCAAGCCTATCAATAGAGTAAAGAGTGAACAGTTGAATCCCAACATACTCAGTGTCTCTCCATCTCCCCAAACTCCAGCAGCCATATGGATTCTTCCCTTCCCTTTAAGACCCTGGAGTCATTGATACTCTTGGTGTTACTAGGTCCTCCTTTTGTCCCAGCCTGAGTGACTCTGATTGGTTCCATGTGTTTTGTCTTCATTTAGGGGCCTATCAGTGAGCAGAATTTTGAAGCATATGTAAATACACTCACAGACATGTACAGCAATCTGGAACGGGACTATTCCCCGGAATGCAAAGCTCTGCTGGAAAGTATCAAACAGGCAGTGAAGGGCATCCATGTGTAGGACCACAGCGCTGCCAGGCAACAGAAATTACAAACAGCAGTAACACAGACGGATCTGGAAGGGACTCCTGTGCTGCTAAGGCACATAGGTTGCCGTACTGCATTTACAATTGCAACATTGCACTAATTTTTTCCCCCCAGCTGACATAAAAAGGAAAGAAAAACTATGATAGACTCTGGATTAAAAGCGATGCAGTCAAATATCAGATCTTATTTATTTTCATATGTTTTAATTTTATTTCTTCATTGCACTCTTTTGGATTTTTTTTGTAAAGTATATGTAAAATAAATGTGACATTTTTATATTTTATTTATTTCTAATCAAAGAGTTTTTTATCTTTTAAGTGCATTTTGAAGTCTGCCATATTTTTACAAGTGTGTTTATTAATTTATTTTCCAATAGAATTTAAATAGAAATGCTATTCTCAAATCACATACCTTGCTGGGTTTAAATGAGAAAACAAAAAAAATAAGAAGGAAATCCTTGTCTAAGGACTGCACTATGGTCCGGTTTGATTTTTATTGCACATTTCTTTTCCTCCCTTTCACTGGCTTTTGTATTTGTAAATGAGCTTGCCGTGAGGTGCGGGAAGAAATAAGAAGATAAATGGCGCCCACTAGTGGGAAATGCGCACTCACAGTAGCACAGTGTACTGGAAAACAGCCTGTTCAGAATTTGTTAGCAATAATTAAATATAGCAATCAGCAAAGTATTCGACTTGGCTGTACGGTTTTAGTTAATATGAATTATTTATTTGACATGTTTTAAAGAAACATAAGCTTTTTTAGTGATGCAGATTTGTCTGTTTGTTTTTCAAGTCATATCAGATAGTTGGCAACTCTTATCCCAAGATGAGAAATAAGACTTGATGTGACCAGCCAGGCTTTCCTGCCATATGTTGGTACAATATACAAGTGACAATATTGATGTAGATTTGTACTTAGCAAATACAAACACATCCAAATGGAAAATTTTGTAGATACCATATCCCCTGAAATAGCATTTATCTTACTGGGTGGACTGGAAAGGAATGGGAAATATAGTAACACATGAAAAAAAAACATTACTCCGATCCGAGTAAATACTTTAAACACTGGTGACATTGTCTTACCCTCCTTAGGCAACAGGAGAACTTTCAATTTGATAAAAATCTTTCCATAGAACTACAAGTGCTACAAAGTATACACACTCACACTCACAGACACACACCCACAGAGAGACACACTCACATACACTCACACACGCATGAAATTGAGCCCCAAATCTTGGATTTCTGGATGGATCAGAGTTTAGTAGTTGCTATAGTAAAGGCAATGTCTATTTCAGGGATTGTAAAGTAGTTAAACATTGTTTCGAAAGTTTTTTTATATTTATTTTTTTTAAGAAAAAGGTATAGACAACCAGCTAAACTGCCTTTTTGGTGTGCACACACACCTCGTGTGCAATGTGCCTCCGTGTAAATGGACACTTGAACTTAGTGTGGGCTTAATTTTCTGTGCTATAACAAAAGTGTTTATTTTTTATTAGCCTCATGGATATGTAGATTGAATGTGATGGCACTCACAGGCTTGATATATTCCACTGTTATTACTGTTACCTGCACAAATGAAAAGTAATATCAACAGTAATTCCACTTCCATGACACTGTGGTGATTGTTATGTACTAAGTGGGGCTTATCTTCGGTTTGGGGTTCATTTGAACCCTTGAATCTTAGTTTAGTGAAAATGAGATGTCTGTTCTTAGATAGGAACGGTGTTAATTTAAAAATCACTTTTAAAAAAAGAGCTACCATATGTGCTGTCTATTATAAATGGGACACCAAACAAAATTTTCTATTAAAGTTATGTACTTGCAAACATTTTGCTATACAGTACTTGATAGAGGCATACAAATAAGTTCACTTATTACAAAGACAAAAGTTTAATTTGCTAAATATTTTAACAAGTTTGTTATATATTTTATTTAATTTAAAAGAAATCTCTTACCAACCTATGTATTTATTACTATAATTTACTATGACTTCGGGTTAATTTATTTGTGTTTGCATAGTTTGAGCAGACTGTTTTGTGAAGTATGTTTGTATTTATTTGCCTCCTTTGTACTTGATGTGTTTTGTAATGTGCACTGATTTTTTTCCTTTCAACTCTGTTAATGATAGATACTGTAAATTGGGTCTTTTGTAAACAGCAAAAAGGCAATGATGTATGCATTTTTTTTAATTTGAAGTAGCTTGTTTGTATACTGTTTCTTCAAACAATTAATATTTCTTACATCAAAGCAACAAAATTGTGTTCAGTGCTGTACATTTGGTGTATAGTAGGAAATAAAAATTGATAATGAGTTTTGCTGTGCTCTTTCTTGGGCTACTCTATCGAGACCATTACTGCCATTCCATGAAAAGCACTGTCCCGGAGGAGGTCTGCTGAGGTAGACTGCCCCAGAATCAAGTAGTGCTGATGCATTTCAGTTCCGCCAACCAGTCTGCCTGGCTCATTATTTTATCCCAAGTAGACAGGATGTTTTTGCCAACTGATAAGTCAACAGCCTTTGTTTCAGTATACACATCCAAAAGAGGGGCTACCTTCGATGTGAGGGAAAACTTTGCTAGCACTAACAGGTGATTCATCTGTATCTGCTAACTCCACAATTGCTTTGGGTACTGAGGATATCTCTGTATTCATACAAGCCAGCTAAACTCAAATTAAAGAAAAATAATGATTAATTCTTGACAGCATCTCCTTTGCTTGTGTATTTTTCCTATCGAACGTCAAATAATCAGCTTAATTTAATTTTCCAGTTTCTGCCCGGATTTACATATCTCTAGGACTGGTTGACATTTATACTCAATGTAATCCATGTAATGAAGAACAATTGACTGAAGGGAAGTCTGGTTCCCCAAAGGAACGCTCCAGGGCTATACTTGGGTAGACCTAAGCGGGACAGGGGTTGGCACACAGTCGTTAATGCACAAGATAGCCTGCTTTGAGTCACCAAATTTATTCATACCAAATGTGCATATGATACACTCTATGAAAATAGATCACAAGATGCCAATATGCTCAGCTGTGTTCTTAGCCCACCCTTCACAGAGGATATGTATCTTATCCTGATTGCAATTTCACAATCAGGAATGGTGTCTGTGTCCCTGTCTCCCAACATATCAGAAGAGGAGTCCCAGTCCTACTGGTACTGGAAATAAGAGAGGGATCGCTAGGCTTCATACATTCATACAACAGAGGTTTAATTCAAGGATATTTTTGTGAGGCCCACTTCCTGGCTTCCACGTCCCTTCAACCCAGTGAGGGATGATGAAATGAGTGATAAGTACTGCGATGGCCACGCATACAGGCTCCTGTAAAAAAGGTGTGGGGGGGCACCTAACAAACTCCGTCCCGGGGAAAGTGCTGGTGACGGGGGTGCAGGGCAGGTTCCAGGAAAAGCATTGCAGGCAGCAGGAATTGCATGTGAAAAGCATGCTGGTGAGACAAATCATCAACCAAGTAGTTTAAGGTAGTGGAAATATCAAAAAAGGAGTGAGAAGTGAGACGATAAGAGGCAAGGAACCCAGTTAAGTGTCAGAGGGGGCCGCACTGTAACCGACCATGTTGAGGGGTGCCAATTTCCACAAGCAGACTTCAGAATGCCAAAGGAATCTTTAAAACCAGGGAGTGAGGGACACCAGGGTGACCCAGTCCGTTAAGCCTCTGCCTCCGGCTCTGGTCATGATCCCAGGGTCCTGGGACACAGTCCCACATCAGGCTCCCTGCTCAGTGGGGAGCCGGCTTCTCCCTAGACCACTGCTGACAAGTAAGTAAATAAAATCTTTAAAACAAAAAACAAAAATGACAGGATTGGATTTCCACTGGAAATAATTATTATTCTAGCAATTCAAACAATTAAAATTGTTTCACCAAAGCAAGAAAAATGTTCAGGGCTGTATCTTTACTGTACAGTAGAACATGAAAATTGGTAGTGAGTGCTGCTGTGCTTGTTTTCAGCCTATTCTGTAAGACTGTTCTCACCATTTCATGAAAGGTTCTGGGCCTTCAGACAAAGAACTAAAATATTTCCACTGGAACCAAGGGCCTGGATGAAAAAAAAGGAACTGCCTCACCAGAAAAAGTTTTTAAAAATGAGACTTGTTATGATACATCAATGATTTCTTATTATTCACAAAACTAATGTTTTCTACATCTCTTCCCACACATTATGTCCATTTTAGTGTGGTCTGGGAATAGTACCCTGCTATTTCCTCTCATTAGTCAGCAGATAATTATAAAGTAAGCAGATTTAATTGGCTAATAGCTGTCTACACTGTCAGACACAATCAGTGAAGCCTTGTATACTATGTCTCATGAAATCCTCAACCATATTTATGCAGTAAATATCACCATGCCCAATTAAACTGACAGAGAAACTGGTGCTCAGGGAAATGAGTAACTTGCTCAAGACCAGAAAACTAGGAATAGGTAGTGTCAGCATTCAACCTCTTTCCATCATTTTGAAGATGTAATCTGTGGGGATCAGTCTAGTTACCTGTCAGAACCTGCCTCACCTGCAAGAAAGAAAACAAGAACTGGTTCAGATCAAGATGTATGCTAGAGTCCAGCCATGTCCCATATTCCTAAATCTTTTTTTTAATTTATTTTATTTTTCTTGCCATAGCACATACCCTCCTCCCAGCCATCCCATCCCTCCCACCCCCACCTCCTCCAGCAACCCTCAGTTTGTTTCCTGAGATTAAGAGTCTCTTATGGTTTGTCTCCCTCTCTGGTTTTGTCTTGTTTCATTTTTCCCTCTCTTCCCCTATGATCTTCTGTCTTGTTTCTCAAATTTCTCATATCAGTGAGATCATATGATAATTGTCTTTCTCTGATTTATTTCTCTTAGCATAATACCATCCGCATCGTTGCAAATGGCAAGATTTCATTTTTGGTGGCTGCATAATATTCCATTGTGTATATACATACACCACATCTTCTTTATCCATTCATCTGTG